AGGAAGACACGGGGAACAGTGCGGGTGGAGAGCTTTTCCGCGGTGGTATCAATGACAAAGGCACGAGAACCCCAGACTCGGATCAGCGACGCATCGCCAACCTCCCCCGTCCACCGGAGTGTGGGCGAGGTCTCCGGCAAGGAGACACGGGACCAGAGGTTGAGCTGATGCGAGGCGTAGCGGACTGCAAACGGCTACAGAAAATGGGGGGCAGCCGCATGGACCATGGAGGTATGAGCGACTTCCATGACCAAGCCAATGCGGCACTCAGCAACCCCATTCTGCTGCGGAGAGGCCGGAAGCGTGAACGTCTGGCGAATGCCCTCCACACGGCAAAATCTCTGCAGGAGGTCGGAGGAAAACCCCCCACCTCTGTCAGAGTGCAGACATAGGACGGGAAACTCCGTCCCGAACCGCTCACGGAGCTGGAGACGGGCAGCAGGGATCCAAGGGATCAAACATCAAGGACCTCACCCTTGGTGCACAAGGGGAAGACCGTGGTGTAACGCGAGTAGTCTACAAAAACCAGCAGGAAGTACCGCTCGCGTTCCTGCCCACTGACGCGGGCTGGGCCCCACACGTCTATGTGCAGGGTCTGCAAGGGAGCAGTCCTCGAGGGAAACGAGGAGGAGTGAAGAGTGCCGCGCTGCCGCCCCTCGACACAGGGAAGACAGGGAGGAGCAGGCGAGGGAGGGAGGGGAGGGAGAACCCTGGGAAGACCAGATACAAGGACACGGCGGTGCATGCTACGAAGGCGTTGCACCGAGGGGTGACCAAGACGGTGGTGCCAAAGGAGGGTCTGGTGCGACAAAGCGCGACACGAGCTGGGGGCTGCTAGGTGATCTGACATAGACGCGGACGCAACGACCTGAGGGGACACAGTAGTCTGTGTGTACAGACTCGAGCCAGGCGCACGGGTAAACGTGGCTAGGTGCCGGCCCGTCCGAGAGCACGTATACTGGGTCACGCACTGACCTCCAGGAGTGAACTGGTCAACCCATTGGTCCTGGAGGTCAGCACCACTCACCAAGTTCGTAGAGAACGATGGGTGGTGAAGACCTGACAGGGAGCCAGACAGGACCGCCAGACATGGCAAGATCGTGGAGGAGTGCGCAAGGACTGGACCCCCAGAGGGGTCTGCCAGGGAGACTGCAATCGGCCGACTGAGCGACGCGAGGGTGGTGCTGTCGCGAAAGAAGGAGTGAGAAGCACCTGAGTCAACTGTGAAGGTGTACAAGGCCTCAGCAGGCGCAGTATTAGAGAGAGCAGACTCACCAGTACCTGGAGCAGCAGCCTCACCAGCACCTAGAGCAGGAAACGCACTAGCACCTATAGCAGCAGCCTCACCAGTACCTAGAGCACTAGACGCACTAGCACCCAGAGCAGCACCCTCACCAATACCTAGAGCAGAAGGCTCTATACCTGGGTCAGGCGGTACGCACAGGTAACAGGTACTATCACCACTAGTAGGCAATGCATACATGGCAATGAGAATAGCATCATAGTCAAGAGCAAAGATATCTACCCTTTGCCTAAGCAGCTTCAGCCAGGTGGGGAGCTCACCCTTGTCGCTTGAATCGGTCCTCCAGGCGTCGCTCAGACGGGCGAAGCAGCGGGAGTGTGTGTGACCAAGTGTCCCGCAAGCCTGACCAGCCCGATCACCTGTGCCAATGACGTACGGGCAGCGAACGGTACTCCAAGACCCTCTACTCTGAGCGTACCACTCGTGAAGCTGCTGGGACGTAAGTGTCTTGCGTGGACGCCGCTGCAGCTGCAGCTGGCCACTGCCAGACGCTCCCAACTGACCAGCTCCAGGGCGACAGCTACGACGGCTACCGCCACAACCCCAACTAGCGTACCACTCACGAAGCTGCTGGGGCGTGAGAGACTCGCGTGGACGTTGCTGGAGCTGCATCTGGCCATCGCCAGTAACAGTAGTAGCAGAATTAGCAGCACTAGCAGCGCGAGCAGGGCAGGTGCGGCAGGCAGGCAGGCAGGCAGACAGGCAGGCAGGCAGGCAGATGGCACGGCAGCGCGCGAACAAGGTAGGTGCTCACCAATGGCGGGAAGGGTAGGCGCTCGCCGGGCGAGCAGGGCCGGCGCTCGGCGGGCGGCGGCCGGGTGGGCGCACGACGGCAGCGACGGCGGGGCCGCAACAGCTGCGGCAGAGCAGGGCCGCGTCGGCGGTAGAGCAGGTCCGCGACAGCTGCTGCAGGGCGGGGCCGTGACCGCTGCATGGCGGGGCCGCGAGGACTACTACAGGGCGGGGCTGCGAGGACTGCTGCAGGGTGGGGCCGCGTCAGCATCAGGAGGCTTCGCGGCAGCTTCTGCAGGGCGGGGCCACGACCGTGGCAGGGCGCTCCGTGGCAGCTGCTGCAGGAGCGACGGCGGCAGTCAGGCAGGGGCGGCGTCTAGGGGGGGGGGGCGCCGCGACGAACAGGGGCAGCCGCGGTGCACGAGGCTGCAGCGGGCTACGCGAATTGCAGGCGCTGCGCGCGAAGCCGCAGCGGACCGCGCGAGGATGACAGCCGCGGCGCGCGGGGCTGCAGCGCGACGCGCGGGCAGCGGACGCGACGTGCGGGGCTGCAGCGCGACGCGTGGGCAGCGGACACGACGCGCGGGGCTGCAGCAAGCAGCGTGGGCTGCGGGACGCGGCGCGCGGAGCAGCAGCGAGCCGCGTGTGGGCTGCCGAGGCGCGACTCGGGCAGCTTGGACGACGCGCGGGGCAAAAACCGGGCCGCGCGCAGGAATCAGGTATGCGCGCTCTAAGTAGTGGCAGACCGCGCAGTCAGCAGACAGCACGCAAACGGCGCGCGCAGCGCAGCACGTCACAGGCACAATTACAATCACAGTCACAGTCGCGGGGTAGCGGTAGGTGGGCCCGAAAAAAAAGACGGTCCCACGGACCTACTGCTCTGATACCATGTTAGAATCTAGAGACATGAATGAATCAACTATGGAAGAGTTGGGTACAAGTATGAAACCCTAAAAATGGGCTATACCCCATATTGGCTACCCCACTACAACCTACACATATATAACATGCATATACTTTGACACTTTCTCCTCGTTTCAACTAACGGACTGCATGCACGGATCCCTTCTGGTGTTCGGCCGTCTTGCCACAACTTTGGCTATTAGCAAGCAACCATAGCCTGGTGCACATCGTGTTCACTAATCTCCCCTTCCATTCTCTCCTCTCCGTCTCTCCTCCCACCCCACCAACTGGCATCACGCAGGCTAGTGTACTGGTGTTCGGCTTGCTGTGCACAGCTGACTTTTGAGTCGACTCAAAAGTCACCTCCCTCACTGGTGTTCGGCCTGCTCTGCACAGCGGACTTTTGAGTCGACTCAAAAGTTACCTCCCTCACTGGTGTTCGGCCTGCTCTGCACAGCTGACTTTTGAGTCGACTCAAAAGTCACCTCCCTTCCTGGTGTTCGGCCTGCTGTGCACAGCTGACTTTTGAGTAGACTCAAAAGTCACCTCCCTTCTTGGTGTTCGGCTTGCTCTGCACACCTGACTTTTGAGTCGACTCAAAAGTCACCTCCCTTCCTGGTGTTTGGCCTGCTGTGCACAGCTGACTTTTGAGTCGACTCAAAAGTCACCTCCCTCACTGGTGTTCGGCCTGCTCTGCATAGCTGACTTTTGAGTCGACTCAAAAGTCACCTCCCTCACTGGTGTTCGGCCTGCTCTGCACAGCTGACTCTTGAGTCGACTCAAAAGTCACCTCCCTTCCTGGTGTTCGGCCTGCTCTGCACAGCTGACTTTTGAGTCGACTCAAAAGTCACCTCCCTTCCTGGTGTTCGGCCTGCTCTGCACAGCTGACTTTTGAGTCGACTCAAAAGTCACCCCCCTTCCTGATGTTCGGCCTGCTCTGCACAGCTGACTTTTGAGTCGACTCAAAAGTCACCTCCCTTCCTGGTGTTCGGCCTGCTCTGCACAGCCCTGGCTATTGGCACATGAACTATAGTTGCTTTATGAACAAATGCCATTTTTTGCACCACATCTTGGCACCTTTTCTCTTCCAAAATTTGACATTTTGTTCAGTAAGCAACTATAGAGAGCAAGCAGGACGGTCTGGACTTTCCAACTCAAGCGGAAACGTCTATTAACACGATAAGCCGCATTCTGATTATAAGCCCCACCCCTGTTCATAGAGCTTTCCGCTACAACCATAGATGAAATGAGTGTTTCGAAGGCATAGCTTGAAACATATGTTTTTTTTCCCAAGGGCTAAAACAAACAATTCCACTATTGTCTGCACTGCACTGCACCCCAAAAAATGGCAAGAATACTATACACCCTTAGGCACTTCTATCCGAGGGGATACGGTAATACATGTATCCACCAAACTCCCTGCCAGACAAACCCACCCGAGCATCATTCACTTTACGCAAGCGATTGCGTACGTAAAAGGTGCAGCGGATGAGAATCCACAAGAAGAAACCTGTAGTGACTAAACCAAGGATGGCATGTGTCACATGTGGGAAAGGCTTGAAGAAAGCAAGTGGCTGAGGAGGCTCAGAGGAAACGGGCAGGACAGGAGGCTTGGGGGTAGTTGGATTAGGCAAAGGAGGGTAGGCGTAAGGCTCAGCAGCCATACACTGAGTCACATTGATATTACGGTTCAAATACTCGATATAAGCGTCAAGGCCAGAAGTGTTTGAGATAGAGCGGTTGAGGTCGGTTGGTTGTGGGGGTGAGAGTGGTGACGATGGGTGTGGCTCGGTTTGGGGGTTGGGAAGAGAGCTTGGGGGGCACTGGGAGGGGCGCAGGTTGAAAGGATCGCAGCAGGTGGTGGGATGAGGGAAGACGTTGTTGGTGGGTGGGCCGTCGAGGCACTGCGAGAGGGAGGGAGGAGAATGGAGGGGAGAGGAGGGAGGGGAGAGAACGGAGGGGAGAAACATCAACTGAAAGAGGAAGGCGTTGTTGGGTGGAGGGAGCGGAGAGAATGGAGGGGAGAGAATGGAGGGGAGAGAATGGAGGGGAGAAACATCAACTAAAACAGCAAGGCGTTGTTGGTGGGAGGGGTGCAGGGTGAAGGGATGGCATCGGATGGTTGTGGGGAGGTAGGCATCGTCGGTAGGTGGGCCATAAAGGCAGTGCAGGGAGGGAGGGGAGAGGAGGGAGGGGAGAGGAGGGAGGGGAGAGGAGGAGGGGAGAGGAGGGAGGGGAGAGGAGGGAGGGGAGAGGAGGGAGGGGAGAGCAGGAAGGAATAGAGGATGGCCATAAAGGAAGCAGGCGGCTCTCAAGAATTGTAAAAAAACAAACGCCTGCTACAGGAAGGCTGTAGCAGGAAGGTTGCTTGAGGACGGCTGCTCTATGAGGGTTGTAGCAGGAAGGTTGATTGAGGAGGGTTGTAAGAGCGCCAGATGGAAACACACCTCTGATGAGCAGAGACCCATGCAGATCAAACCCAAGCTTCGCAGCCACACGTATAGAAGTTATTTTTGAGACGCCTAAAAAACAACCTCTATATCTGATGAGATTAGACCCATGCAGATCAAACCCAAGCTTCGCAAGAACGCAAAGCTGTGAATCACAAACATTGTAAAAGAGATGACTGACAGCCGAGAAGGACGGTGAAGGCACGTGAATTTCTACCAGCAGCGACCCATGCAGCTCAAAACGCAAGCTTCGAAAGAACGCAAGGTTGTGACTCACCCCCCCTGACATTTGAGGCGCCTCAAAGGCTGAGACTCGTTTTGAGGCGCCTCAAAGGCTGAGACTCGTTTTGAGGCGCCTCAAAGGCTGAGACTCGTTTTGAGGCGCCTCAAAGGCTGAGACTCACCCCCCTCCCTGAAAACAAGATGACAGCCGAGAAGGAAGGGATGCCGTAGAGGTTTCTGGCTATGGCTGTGAGAAGCTGGGAGGTGAAGGAGTATGCATCCATGGTGATTGTGATGCGGCCAACTGATGGGTGCACGCAGGGGAGAGGGGGGAGTGGGAGGAGAGACGGGAGGTGGGGAGGTAGGAGAGGGAGGAGAGGAAAGCAGTATTGGCAGGAAGGCAAACGACTGTGATAAGCTGGGTGGTGAAGGAATATGGATTATGGTGGTGGTGATGCGGCCAACTGATGAGTGGAATGGAAACAGGGGAGAGGCGGGAGAAGGAGGAAAGACAGGAAAGGCAGAAGATAGCTCTCTCTGCTTATCGCTGTCACAAGCTGGGTGGTGAAGGAATATGGATCCATGGTGGTGGTGATGCGGCCAACTGATGATGGAAAGCAGAGGAGAGGCGGGAGTGGGAGGAGAGGCAGGAGATGGGGAGGTAGGAGAGGGAGGAGAAGGTAGGAGAGGGAGGAGAGGCAAGCAGTATTGGCAGAAAGGCAAACGACCACTCACTCACAAGCACCCACCCACCCACAAGCACCCACCCACCCACAAGCACCCACCCACCCACAAGCACCCACCCACCCACAAGCACCCACCCACCCACAAGCACCCACCCACCCACAAGCACCCACCCACCCACAAGCACCCACCCACCCACAAGCACCCACCCACCCACAAGCACCCACCCACCCACAAGCACCCACCCACCCACAAGCACCCACCCACCCACAAGCACCCACCCACCCACAAGCACCCACCCACCCACAAGCACCCACCCACCCACAAGCACCCACCCACCCACAAGCACCCACCCACCCACAAGCACCCACCCACCCACAAGCACCCACCCACCCACAAGCACCCACCCACCCACAAGCACCCACTCACATAGCGTTCCCGCACATTCCTCCTTGAGCAAATCTGCAAGCCCGTCACAGACGGTGATTGTGGGACCTGCTTCCACGAATTCCGTGTCTGCGTGTGACACAAGCAGAAGCAGAGTGACAAGAGGCCTTGAGCGACACAACATGGTGTGGAAAAGCCAGAAGGGAACACAATCAGGTGTTGCAGGTGTTGCAGGTGTTGCAGGTGTTGCAGGTGTTGCAGGTGTTGCTGCTCCGATCAGGCTGTGTCTCTGAGTGACAAGAGGGCTTCAGCCTGTCTCCAAGCAACTTTTGAGTTGACTCAAAAGTCACCTCGTTACAGTGACAAGAGGCCTTGAGCCTGCTTGCAAGCCTGTCCCAGATGGTAATTATGTGACCTGCTCCCACCACGAATTCTGTGTCTGAGGAGGGAGAGGAGAGGAGAGGAGAGGAGAGGAGAGGAGAGGAGAGGAGAGGAGAGGAGAGGAGAGGAGAGGAGAGGAGAGAAGAGGAGAGGAGAGGAGAGGAGAGGAGGAAAACCAGGTAGCATCTCGAGCAGACCAGGGCCAAGCGAATAAGAAGAGAGATAGGAGGGAGCGGAGGAAACGAGAGAGAAGAGGGAGAGGAGGGAGAGGAGGGAGAGGAGGGAGACGAGGGAGAGGAGGGAGAGGAGGGAGAGGAGGGAGAGGTGGGAGAGGAGGGAGAGGTGGGAGAGGTGGCAGAGGTGGGAGAGGTGGGAGAGGAGGGAGAGGTGGGAGAGGAGGGAGAGGTGGGAGAGGAGGGATAGGAGGGAGAGGAGGGAGTGGAGGGAGATGAGGGAGAGGAGGGAGAGGAGGGAGAGGAGGGATAGGAGGGAGAGGAGGGAGAGGAGGGAGAGGAGGGAGAGGAGGAAGAGGAGGGAGAGGAGGGAGAGGAGGGAGAGGAGGGAGAGGAGGGAGAGGAGGGAGAGGTTGGAGAGGAGGGAGAGGTGGGAGAGGAGGGAGAGGTGGGAGAGGAGGAGGAGAGGTGGGAGAGGAGGGAGAGGAGGGAGAGGAGGGAGAGGAGGGAGAGGAGGGAGAGGAGGGAGAGGAGGGAGAGGTGGGAGAGGAGGGATAGGAGGGAGAGGAGGGAGAGGAGGGAGAGGAGGGAGAGGAGGGAGAGGAGGGAGAGGAGGGAGAGGAGGGAGAGGAGGGAGAGGAGGGAGAGGAGGGAGAGGAGGGAGAGGAGGGAGAGGAGGGAGAGGAGGGAGAGGAGGGAGAGGTGGGAGAGGAGGGAGAGGTGGGAGAGGAGGGAGAGGTGGGAGAGGAGGGAGAGGTGGGAGAGGAGGGAGAGGTGGGAGAGGAGGGAGAGGAGGGAGAGGAGGGAGAGGAGGGAGAGGAGGGAGAGGAGGGAGAGGTGGGATAGGAGGGAGAGGTGGGAGAGGAGGGAGAGGAGGGAGAGGTGGGAGAGGAGGGAGAGGTGGGAGAGGAGGGAGAGGTGGGAGAGGAGGGAGAGGTGGGAGAGGAGGGAGAGGTTGGAGAGGAGGGAGAGGAGGGAGAGGAGGGAGAGGTGGGAGAGGAGGGAGAGGTGGGAGAGGAGGGAGAGGTGGGAGAGGAGGGAGAGGAGGGAGAGGAGGGAGAGGAGGGAGAGGAGGGAGAGGTGGGAGAGGAGGGAGAGGTGGGAGAGGAGGGAGAGGTGGGAGAGGAGGGAGAGGTGGGAGAGGAGGGAGAGGAGGGAGAGGAGGGAGAGGAGGGAGAGGAGGGAGAGGAGGGAGAGGTGGGATAGGAGGGAGAGGTGGGAGAGGAGGGAGAGGAGGGAGAGGTGGGAGAGGAGGGAGAGGTGGGAGAGGAGGGAGAGGTGGGAGAGGAGGGAGAGGTGGGAGAGGAGGGAGAGGTTGGAGAGGAGGGAGAGGAGGGAGAGGAGGGAGAGGTGGGATAGGAGGGAGAGGTGGGAGAGGAGGGAGAGGTGGGAGAGGAGGGAGAGGTGGGAGAGGAGGGAGAGGTGGGAGAGGAGGGAGAGGTGGGAGAGGAGGGAGAGGTGGGAGAGGAGGGAGAGGTTGGAGAGGAAGGAGAGGTGGGAGAGGAGGGAGAGGTGGGAAAGGAGGGAGAGGTGGGAGAGGAGGGAGAGGTGGGAGAGGAGGGAGAGGTGGGAAAGGAGGGAACGGAGGGGAGGAAAGGGAAGAAGGGAAAGCAGGGAAAGAAGGTACCTGGGTAACAGACGGCGTCGCACATGACCATTTCGAGCAGCTGTGCGCAGAATGGATAGCCCTGCAAGGCCTCACATGCCTGGTGGGCGGGAGGGGAGCAGAGGTGAGCAGAGGGGAGGGGAGGAGCAGTGAGGGAGAGATTGAAGAGCAGATGCGCGCAAGAGGATAGCCCTGCAAGCAGGGTGGGGGAGGAGCAGAGGGGCGGAGAGGGGCAGACGGGAAGAGAGGGGCAGAGAGGGGCAGAGAGGGGCAGAGAGGGGCAGAGAATGAGAAGCAGATTCGCAGAAAGCGGATAGCCCTGCAGGGCCTCACATTCCTGGTGGACTGGGGGAGAAAGGAGAGGCAGAGGCAGAGAGGCAGAGAGGCAGAGAGGCAGAGATGCAGAGAGGCAGAGAGGCAGAGATGCAGAGTGGCAGAGATGCAGAGAGGCAGAGAGGCAGAGAGGCAGAGAGGCAGAGAGGCAGAGAGGCAGAGAGGCAGAGGGGCAGAGATGCAGAGAGGCAGAGATGCAGAGATGCAGAGATGCAGAGTGGCAGAGATGCAGAGAGGCAGAGAGGCAGAGAGGCAGAGAGGCAGAGAGGCAGAGAGGCAGAGAGGCAGAGGGGCAGAGATGCAGAGAGGCAGAGATGCAGAGAGGCAGAGGGGTAGAGATGCAGAGATGCAGAGAGGCAGAGATGCAGAGGGACAGAGGGGCAGAGATGCAGAGATGCAGAGAGGCAGAGAGGCAAGGAAGTCGGGCTTATCCTCTCCTTCAACTGCCGCGACTCACAGAGGGAGGGTTGGACGGGTCGATGAGTCCAAGAGCAGCAGCAGCGGTGGTTGGTCTGCGGACTTACACTGGGCGGATTGGGCGGGTTGGAGAGGTCGATGAGTCCAAGAGCAGCATTGTCACCCGGCGCGAGCTCGTCCCCCCCGCACAGCCCCGGCTCACCCACAGAGGCACACCCACAGAGGCACACCCACAGAGGCACACCCACAGAGACACACCTACAGAGGCACACTCACAGAGGCACACTCACAGAGGCACACTCACAGAGGCACACTCACAGAGGCACACTCACAGAGGGCGGGTTGGAGAGGTCGATGAGTTCACGAGCAGCGGCAGTAGCATTGTCGCCCAGGGCCAGTATCGCGAGAGAGACGTTGGAGCGGATGTATCTCAGCGCGAGCTCCTCTCCCCCGCACAGCCCGCAGCAGCAGCACACTCACAGAGGGCGGGTGAGACAGGTCGATGAGTTTAAGAGCAGCAGTGGTAGCGTTGGCACCGAGGGCCTCTATCACAAGAGAGACGTTGGATTGGATGTATCGCAGCGCGAGCTCCTCTCCCCCGCACAGCCCGCAGCACGTCTCGTGGTCTCCCCACACGCACCGGCGCTGCCACACGGCCGCTCCGTTAGCAGACGCCTCGATATAAGCCGCGTCTACGTTCTCGGGGCGCAGGCCGGTAATCGGACAGTCAGGGTATTCTACTACTACCGGATAGCCGTCTGGTTGTGCTGACGCCGCGAGGGTGAGCAGGAGGGGCAGGAGGGCCGTCAGAATGGCGGACAAGAGGGCCGTTGGCGCGGCTGAAGGGAGCGTAGGGAGGGCTGATGCGATGGCTGACGTGGCTGACGTGATGGCTGACGTGACGGCTGACGTGGCTGACATGATGGCTGAAGGGAGGACTGACGTGGCGAAACTATGTATTCGCGCCATCAGCAGGGTCGCGTCTCGGACTCGGAGACGCTCGACCGGAATACGCGTTACTAACGTCCTCGGTTAGGAGTTGATGCGTGTCTGACCTAGAAGAGTCGTCAGCGCTCGCACTGCTCATCTGAGAGCAGGGCAGAGCAGTATTAATCTTGTTGAACAAAGTGAAGAAGGCTTCAGTAACACTATGAACGAAATTATGCCAGGCATTTGGGAATTTATACCTGCCTGGTGCGGCGCGGCTTGGAGGTAAGCTAATTTGTCGGCGAAGCACGCTTCTATTGACCTTTGCTGACTACTGTATCATGTGCAGCATAGCGGAAGCATTCTCGCGTTGACTTTGGACTTATATCGGATTCCATGGTCTCGGTGCAATACAGAAGGTTATAAGCTTGCGACTGCGAATGTATCTACGGTTGTTAATGGATTTACACACACAAAAAAACTTATAGCACGTTACAGAGGCAGCACATGTGTAATGAATATGAATTCATGACTGTCGAGGCTGCTCCTAGCAAGGACAGCCCGAACTGTTCGCGTCAGTTGGGCTCGGCCTACACTTTCGTACCGAGCCAGCGCCGAGTCACCCCGCACCAATCGCGACACTTCCAAGCCTCGCACGTCCCGAGGTCCTCGCCTACCACGGTTTCGACCCTAAAAATTCATGCCTCTTGATCATTCTCGACATTCTGTAATTCTCATCCTTTTTATTAAGTCTTCCGCGCACTCTTCTTAGTACAACTCATAACAACATGCAAATTCAGTAGTGTATCAATTACTGCATTTTCACACAGCCAGAACCAGCTAAGCTCTTCAGAGCTGCTATGATAGATACTAGTTCTATATAAACCGTATAGAAAGCAATAAAAACCTTTGGCTTCGCTTATTATTCACGGTAATTGTAACAAAACACTCATTTGCAAGGATCAAACTAAATTACAATGATAGTATCAGCATTGGTTAGGAGTCTCGTTCCTCACGTTGAATTCTTAGCTGCTCTTGCCAGTAGCTATGCGCCTGCACCACTCGATCCAACAGCTCCTGTGGCACCGGCTCCCCCCTGCGCTGATGTGGCGCGATCTGAGCCGTGTGCACAAGAGTCTTCCACTTGTCCTGGCGAATGCAGGGGGGGTTGTGACGAAAGTCAGTTAAGAAAGAAGAGAAGGCCACATTAAAAAAAAAAAAAAAAAAAAACACACACAAAAAAAACAAGTACAAAAGCACAAATGCAGAAAAGCATGTCAAGTAATCATTGAAGTTTTTATGCTAGGTGTCCAAGAGGAATTCATCACAGTACAAGCAAGACTCACCTTGAGATCCACGTAGGTGCGGTGCTTTGATGTCGCAAATGCCCTCAGCTTCACATCCCTCCACCTGCAGCAGTGCACCACCCGGGTAGCGGGGTCCAAATTGGAGAAAGAAAATTATTATTATAATTTCTATTTGCACCTCCCCCTCCCTCCCCGAGGCCTGCCGCATGGCTTTGAACTGACTCAATGACACCTACCCCACCCTCCCCCAGTGGCTTCCCTCCCCCAACCCCCCCACCCGCCTGCCAGTGCCCAGCACTTCTACAGCATCGACCAGGGATTCCACCTCCCCCACTGTGAACGGCCGTCTGATCCTCCTCCTCTACTCTATTAGCTGCAGCCCTGGTGAAACCCAAGTCAACCCAACCAGTCAGAGACAGTAAATCCCCCCTACCCACACCCACCCTCCCCCTACCCACACACCTGCCAGTGCCCAACACTTCTACAGCATCCACCAGCGAGGCCACCTCGCCCACAGTGAATGGCCGCCTGATCCTCCTCCTCTGTTCTATCAGCTGTAGCCCCGCTGCTCCCCTAGCTCTCGGATGCACCATCATGGCCCCCCCCGCCCCCACGGCCCCTCTCTGCAAGTGCTGCTGGTGCGGATGCAAAACCAACGCCCCACTCTCCCCTCCTGCTCTCCCTGGGTATGTCAACGCCCCCCCCCCCTCCTCCTCCTCCTCCTCCTCCTCCTCCCCCCCCGCGGCCTCTCCCTCTCCCTCTCCCTGAGACGGATGGGTGGAGAATCAGAGCACCGGAATGCGCTCCTTTAGAAGCATACCCGCTACTAGAATACCGCCCAAACGGCAGGTGATACCCGTCTTCATCCTCATACTCCTCATCCTCCTCCTCTTCCTCCTCCTCTTCCTCCTCCTCACCCTCCTCCCCTTCCTGATAATCCTCATCATCGTTCCTCCGCCTCCTCCTGCTTCTCCCTCCCCCCGCCCCGTCCCCAGGCTCATGCTCTGTCTGCGCTCGAATCGCTGCCAATGCTTGCGCTGCTGCTTGTCTAGTGGTAGGCGTGGTGGTGGTAGCAGCAGTGGGGGCAGATGCGGGGGTGTGAGGGCCAGAGGAGGTACCGTAAAGGTGTGAGGGGGAGAGGTAGGATGGGTGGAGGGGAGTGGCGGGGTTGGAGTGCCTGCGGGAGCTGCCTGGTGTTGCTGCTGAAGCTGCCGCTGCTGCTGCAGCGGCGGCAGCGGCGGCGGCAGCAGCAGCGGCTGCGATGCTTGATCGGGTGTTGTGGGAGGGGTGCAAGTGAGATGGGCTGAGGGAAAGAGGGGAGAGGGGATGCGACACAAGGGATACGAGGGAGAGGCAAGGGAAAGAGGAGGGCAGGGGAGAGAAACAAGTGGGAGGGGAGGGGAGTGGAGCGGAGGGGAAGAAATCAAGGGGGAACAAAGAAGCAAGATACAAGCATACCTATCAAACACGGCAGCGGCAGCGGCAGCTTCAATGCTGGATTGGATGGGCGTGAGATGGGCTAAAAGGCATCAAACTCACAACCCCCAGGATGTGCCAGGGGATTGTGGTGGGCAACAGCAGCAGCAGCAGCAGGGAGGTGGGACGTGGTGGGTGGTTGTGAGGAGAAAGCAAGGAGAGCAAGCAAGGGGAAAGCAGCAAACTCACGATGCAGCAGAGACAAGTGGACCATCAGCCGCCGCCGCCACTGCCGCGTCAGCAGCAGCAGCAGCAGCAAGAGAGGGATCCCCAGGATGACAGCAAGAGGGAGATGCGCCAGTGGCGACAGCAGCAGCACAGAAGTGGGGGTGCATGCGGCACGTAGTAAGGAGCAAGCAAGGTGAGCAAGCGAAGGGGGAAGCAGCAAACTTACGATGCAGCAGAGACAAGTGGACCATCAGCCGCCGCCGCCGCCGCCGCAGCAGCAGCAGCAGCAGCAGCAAGCGACGGATCCCCAGGATGAGCCAGGGGCGACAGCAGCAGCAGCGGATCCGGATCAGCCGCTGCCGCCGCCGCCGCCGCCACTGCCGCCGCCTGCTTCGCAGCGGCTGTAGCAGCAGCTGTAGCAGCGGCTGTAGCGCCGGCAGGAGGAGGAGTAGGAGGGGGCGGGGGGAGGAGAACGGGGTCTGGGTCGAGCATGAAGCTGAGGGAGGCGGCGGCTGCCTGCTTCTGCTGCTGCTGCTGGTGGAGGGCCGCGTGGGAGAGCCCCACGTCCGCAAGCGACGCCTGGTCGTGTGTGCAGCGGTTACCCTGTAACACCATGCGCAGGCGGAGGCCGTTTCCGAAGGATGCTAGCGCTGCCTCAACCACCGCTTGCTGGGATGGGGCAAGGCATGAAAGATCGAAACGAGGACGATAAGACGATACACACATATAGGTGTTGTACTGCAATGCACCAGTGTGCTTCACTCCTTGGAGGTTCTAGAAAGTGAAACAAGCGTGACACACATTCTGATTTGGAGGAGGCATTCCGAGGAGGCACGTGAGAAGGACTGAGAGCACCTCGGAGGCACATGGGGGACATGTGGCAGCAACGCCAAGAGATGGGACGCACCTTGGTGACTTTTGAGTCGACTCAAAAGCCACCGCGGAGGCACATGGGGGACATGTGGCAGCAACACCAAGAGATGGGACGCACCTTGGTGACTTTTGAGTCGACTCAAAAGCCACCGCGGAGGCACATGGGGGACATGTGGCAGCAACACCAAGAGATGGGACGCACCTTGGTGACTTTTGAGTCGACTCAAAAGCCACCGCGGAGGCACATGAGGGACATGTGGCAGCAACACCAAGAGATGGGACGCACCTTGAGCGCACCAACAGATGCTGTCTCGGGCAGGCACACTGAGAGCTCTGGCATTGACAGGCTCTTTATGGAAAAGCGGACTGCAGATGGGGGGTGTGGGGGGTGGGGGGAGGGAGGAGGGACGGCGGACAGAGAGCATTGGTTGAGAGCCCAGGTAGGCAGACTGAGAGCTCTGGCATTGACAGGCCCTCTATGGAAAAGCGGACTGGGGAGGAAAAAGGGGAAAAGAGGGGGAAGATAAAAACATAAATGAGGGAGGATGTGGTTAGGGAGATTGGCAGCAGGTGTGTTTTGAGTTGATTAAAAACACAACAGGAGAGCGGAGGAGAAAAGGGGGGGAAATAGGAACATAGACGAGGGAGGACGGGGCCAGGAAAATCGGCACCCTTTCAGCTGCACCACATTTGAGAATCCTGGTTTGAGTCGACTAAAAAATCGGCACCCTTTCAGCTGCACCACATTTGAGAATCTTCAAAGTGATAAACGCATCGCCCGCAGTGCAGAACTGGCACCGTGGCACGGATAACCCCCCCCCCCCCCACCTATGCTCTCTCTGTGCCTCTGTTGCCCCTCGCACTCACTCAGTGGTTGCTCCTGTCGTCGCCGGTGGTATGCCTGCAGCACAGGCGCAGAAGCAGGGGCCGGCGCACCACCCTCCCCTGCTCCCCCTGCCGCCCCTGCCTCCCCGGCCCCCCCTGCTCCCCCCGCCCCCGCGCCTTCCCCTGCCTCCGCTGCTCCAGAGCCCTCGCCTGGTCCTAAGGTGGGCCCGTTGTGAGGCGAAGCTTCCAGTGGTGCTTCGGGTACCGAGCCTGCAGAGGCTGGGAGGGAGAGAAAAGATCAACAGGATTGGGAGTCGTTTAAATGAGAGAGCTCATCATACCTGCCCCAGTCATACCTACCCCAGCAGGAGAAAAGCGAAAATATTCCACACATATCCCAGCCATACCTCCGCAGCCATACCTCCCTCAGCCGTACCTCCCCCAGCCATACTTCTGCAGCCGTACCTCCCCCAGCCATACCTCCCCCAGCCGTACCTCCCCCAGCCGTACCTCCCCCAGCCATACTTTCCCCAGCCATACCTCGTCTTCCTATGCCAAGCACCCCGTCCTTGCTGTCCGTTGTGCCAGCAAAAAAAGCTGGAGGAAGAAGAAAAATGGCCCAGGCACATCCCAACCATACCTCCCTCAGTCATACCTCCCTCCCCAGGGCATACAGCTGTACCTCGCCTTCCTCTGCCAAGCACGCCCTCCTTGCTGTCTGTCACACCAGCAGGAGATGCCACCGGCGGAAGAGCGGTAGGCACAGCAGCAGCAGCGGCAGGAGAGGAACCGGGTGACGATGCATGCTGTTGCCGCAGCTGCTGCTGCTGCTGCTGCTGCTGCTGCTGCTGCTCGTGGCTCTGGCTCGTGGTTTGGGCTTGGGATTGGGGTTGGGTGCACAGGGCGGCGTGGTGGGGGGAGAGCACGGCGGATTGGCCATCCAGGGCCATGAAGGGCAGGCGGGAGGCGGGGCGTGTGGTGCGATGGCGCGTGCGGCGAGTGACTCCCTGTAGAGCTGGGGTAGGGAGGGGGGAAGGGGTGTAGGTTGGAAGAGTGGGGAAGGGTGGGAGAGTGGAGGATACTGAAAAACAAGGAACCAGAGGGCGGATGGTGTGGTGGCACTTGCGCCGAGTGATGCTCTGAGGTGACTTTTGAGTCGACTCAAAAGTCACATCGTGTGGTGGCACTTGCGTTGCGCCGGGTGATGCTCTGGATGGATGGAGAGCTGGAGTGGAGGGATGGGGGAGGAGAAGGAGTTTGGGTGGGAGATGGGGGATGGGGGGGAGAGAGAAGGGGAGCTGCACCAATCGCGTACGATGAACATACAGGCAGGCAGAGCGAGGGAGCTTACAGGCAGGGTCGAAGGGCTTGTATACAGGAGACGGGACACCATCCCCATCCCCCTGCTGCTGCTGCTTCCGCTTTCGCGTGCCCACCCCTCCTGCCTGCTGCTCCCTCTCAGAATCTGCCCCTTTCTTCGCCGTCCGTCCTTCAGGCGAGGCAGTGGCTAGAGCTCCGAGTGCCCTCTCCTCCCCTCTTTGCTGTTGCTGCTGCTGCTGCTGCTGCTGCTGCTGCTGCTCAGTCAGAGACGGGGAAGCAGCAGCACCAGCGGCAGCAGTAACACTAGCACCACCAGAAACAGCAACACCGGCAGCAGCAACACCAGCAGCAGCAGAGGCAGCAGCAGCGACAGGAGAAGTAAGGCCAGCAGCGGCAGTTGCAGCAGCGGCAGCAGCAGAGCCAGGGGTTGAGGGGCAGAGAGAGGGCAGGAGGCCAAGAATGGTAGAAGCCACCATGTCATCATCTCGTGACCCTGTTGACGCTACTCCTGCTAATCCCACACCTGCTAATCCCACACCTGCTGATCCAGCTACATCCGCAACACTTTCACCACCACCACCTGGAACCACCGGAAGTGCCACCCCACCTGACTCCACACCTGCGACACCGCCCATCACCGCACCTGAGATTCCACCTGCAGCAGCATCAGGCGGGTGTTCCGACACCAACCCACCTGCAACCCCAGCAGCAACTCCAGCAGTAGCACCATCCTGCCCCTCTCCCACAACCCCATCCCCCATCACCCCCGCTTCACCTCCTCCCCCAATCACCCCCCCAACTCCCCCTTCCGGGCCTTCTCCCGCTCCCCCCAGCACCATGTACTCAACAGGGCCGCCCTCCCCCACGCCCATCTGCTTCTTGAGCTGCTCCTCCTCCTCCTCGTCCACCTCTAGCACGTCGATCTCCTCCTCCTCGTTCGCTGCCTGCACCAGCACCACGTTCTGCATCGCTAAGAGACGCATGTCCATCACCTCGTGCTGCTGCTGCTGCTCTGCTGCTGCTGGGAGCTCTGTCTCCATCCCCTCATGCCGCTGTTCCTGCAGCACCTGCTGCTCCTCCGCTGGTGCCTCTGGTCCGGTTGGCAGTGCTGCATTCTGAGTCGTCTCCTCCTCAGCGCCCTCCCCCTCCCCATGCGCGGGCAGCACAGCGTTCTGCAGCGCCAGCAGGCGGAGGTCCATCAGCTGCTGCTCCGCTGCCACGGGCGGCTGTGCCTCCATCCCCTGCTGTCCCTGCTCTGCTGGCAATGGGAGTGCACCAGGAGGGCCACGGTCAGCAGAGCCGTCTGCAGTGTTCATGTCTGTAGCAGCAGCAGCTTCTGTAGCAGTAAGATCTGTTGTCTCAGGGACAGTGGGGTTAGCAGTTGCGGGATTAGCATCTAAATCAATGGCATCTGTGGTAGCGTGAGCAACTGTTGCGTTAGTACCTGTAGCATTAGCGTCTGTAGCAGTAACACCTGTAGCATTAGCACTTGAGGCTTTAGCATCTGTAGCAGCAGCGCTAGCACCAGTGCCTGAAGTTAAAACAGATTCCGTGTTAGTGGTTAGCTGCGCCGACTCTGATGAAACCTGCTGCTGCTTCCCTCGATCCTCCCGCTCTTCCACCTTACTTCCTTCTCCTTCCACTTTCTTTCCTCCCTCTACTCCTTCCAACTCTGAGTTTGTTCTCTCCTGCTCCTTAATACCCTCCCCCTCACTCCCCCCCCTTCCTCTCTCCTCCTCCCCTTTTCTCCCTCCCTCCTCATCCTCCTCCAACTTCCCTCCCCCCTGCTCCTGCTTCTCTTCTCCCACACCCCCCTTCTCCAGAGGTTCCACCTGCCTTCCTGCTCCTTCCCCCTCCGTACCCTTGGCCGTATCACAACTCCCTTTCTCCCCTTCACCCTTCACCCCTCTCTCCTTTCCATCCTCGGCTGATCCATTCGCCAAAGTCACGTCTACGGCGTCCTTCGGACCCTTGTTATCACCCTGCTCGCCAGTGTCACTGCAACCTTCACCCTTTCCCTCACCCTTCCCTTCATCCCTCCCCTCACCCTTCTTCCCATCCTTCTCCTCACCTTTCATGTCCCCATTCCCTTTCCTGTCCTCATCTCCCCCCATCTCCTTACCTCCTCCCCTCTCCTTGTCAAACTTCCCTTCCGCCTCCCCATCGACAAACCCCTCTCCCCCCACATCCACTTCTTCCGCCCCATCTGCTTCCCCAACACCTTCTTGGCCCCTATTTTTCTCTCTCGTTGATTTCTCGCCCTCCCCTGCCCCTCCTGACTCCAAACCCTGTTCCCTCTCTATACCCTCCGCTTCAGTCACCCCCCCTTCAGTTCTTCCTTCAGTCACCTTCGCTTCAGTCATCACCGCTTCAGTTACCCTCGTTTCAGTATCCACCTCTATTGCAGTCGCAGTACCATCCAATCGCTTCTCCGTTTCAACTTCCGCTTTTACTGGCCCATCCTCTTGCAAGTTGGAGCCTCCCCCAGGTAAGACCTTCCCTTCCGAATCTTCCGTCCCCTTCTCGCCTTCTCCAACCTCCTTCTCGCCTTCCCCCGTTTCTTTTCGTTCTCCTTGTTTCTCCGCTTCAACCTTACCCTCCGTTGCTCTAACTTCCCCCGTTCGGATACTCTCGTCATTGTCACCCTGCTTGCCACACTCCTCAGCAGCACCGTCCCCGTTCGCTTTAATCACATCCTCCAGCGGCTTCTCCTCGGACTCCATTAAATTTCGGATCTGCTATTAACGGGGCCTCGCTTTGGGAATTCTCCTCCACAGAATCCCCCCCTCAATCGTCCCTTCAAAAATCGCAAAAAAAAATATTCCGCGCCTTGACCAATTGTATTCACATAATCCAGTGCCTTGACCGCACGGCCTATCTTTCTCTCCACTTCTGCAGACCCGAGGTCACCCCTTTTTTACTTCTCTCGCGTTGGCAACGTTCCTGAAAGCCCGTCGCGCTTCCTTTCCGTGTTTTCACACTCTATTGCAGGTACTAAGACAGCCGCGCGCTCGAGCTATGGAAATGGCGTAATTAAAATTCTGGGAGGAAGCAAACGCTGCACCATACGAGCATGAACCTCAGTAAACGCTTGCAACTACTATTTGCAATAAATGTAGGTAAGCTCGTCCGACAAACACGAGGTCTAACGTCTCAACGCGCTTAACTTCGTCAAGCATCAAAACCGTACAAACTACCTTCTATTGACGACAATTTTGCCAATTTCGTCAATGCTGAAGCGCAGGCAGCACTCCCGCGATTTGCGGGACTGCGAAACGCCAATGCCTGAGCAAATTGTCCAATATCAGCTGTGGGTGACGAAACCCTGAGATCCAAACCCCAAATGTCAGTGACAAACCCTACCTAACAAACCCCAGATCCACAAGCCTCGAACCCAGGTATTACCGGCTGGGAAAAGATAAGATGCCAAGGTGTTACACTCTACTACAAGTGTCAGGCAGTATAATGTGTTTCGAATAGTATTCATAGAATTTGACACCAGGCCATAGTTTATTCTTACATGCCAACCCGTTTTTTAGCATGGCCTTTTTTTTGGCAGAATATGTGTCTCAGAAATTTCTTAGTTTTATTCAATATTAGATGTTAGTTGCTCATGAAGTATTATAATATTGAGGATATTAATATTTTTATCATAAACAACAGAAAATCCACTAACGGTATTAGTTTGCAAGCATGCTGCTATATTGGAATGGTTCATTTAGTGGATTCTGCAACAGCGAAGAAATCCACAGAATCTCGTTTGCATTCAATGCTTCCTGTGTTGCATTCTGACACCTTCTTTCTTTGGCCATCAGGAGTCGCGCCATGGCCAGTGACGACGATAAAGCCGTTGAGAAGGCAGGTGATGGTGACGTTGATATGGCAGAAAAGCCGGAAACATCAGATTCAGAGCTAGACGAAGGCGGTGACGGTAAGAATGCGACCAATGACCCGAAAAAAGAGGATTCGGACGATGACAGCGATGGCGATGATAGCGAGGATGACGATAGCGAAGATGAGAAAGAAGCAGCGGAGGAGGCGGAGCGAAAGGCTTTGATTGACCAAGTCAAAGCGCGCATCGCATCGAATCCATACGACTATCAGGCTCACGTTCAGGTACGTGCACGTTTTTAGCCCATCCAGTAATCTCCTTCGCTTTAATCACGTCGAGGCACCTCTCTACTCTAAGAGGGCCATAGGAGCCGAGAGTTGAGAGTGCTGATGGAACGACATGGCTGGCCACTGCCGAATGCTGCCAGATTAGGTCACCGCCGCACAAAACGACCTTCTAGGCGCCTCAAGGGTCGTCATATGTCTAACTGGTGGCTACTGCCGAATGCTGCCGAATTAGGTCACCGCCACGCCAAACGATATTTGAGGCGCCTAAAAAATGGACTAAAGCAGGCGAGAGTTGAGAGTGTTGATGGAACGAAATGGCTGGCCACTGACAAATGCCTGCCGGATTAGGTCACCGCCAGTCCAAACGCCAAGTCATGGCTGACCGTCAACTCCGTTTCTCGAGTGCTAATCTGAATGAGCGCGGCGGGAGTCAAGGTGCGTCACTCCAACCCCCTCCTTCTCCCCTTCCCTTTCTTCCCTTTCCCCTCCCCTCCCCCCACCCCTGAACCCCCCTTTTTCGTGCACCCTCCCTGTTCAGCTGATATCCCTGCTGCGGCGCAGCAGCATGCTGGAGGTTTCAAGGGGTGCACGAGAGGCGATGAATGCACTGTTCTCGCTCTTACCCGCCATGTGGCAGCAGTGGGCTCTGAGGCGCCTCAACTGCCACCTCTTCCCTTCCCCTTCCTCCCCTTCTCCTCCCCCACCTCTATTCACCCCCTTACCCCCTGGTCAGCTGATATCTCTCCTGCGCCGCAGCAGCATGCTGGAGGAGCTGCGGGCAGCGAGGGAGGCGATGAACGCGCTCTTCCCGTTATCGCCCGCCATGTGGCAGCAGTGGGCTCACGACGAGACGCGCCTCATCGCCTCGTGAGTGTGCCCCCTTCAACCTGCTGCCTGCTGCCTGCTGCCTGCTCCCTGCCGTGTGCTGCCTGCCTGCTGAACCAGGCTGATGAGCGCGCTGTTCTCATCCCGGCCACCTAGTCCGCACTCTGAATATTCCAACAGAGCCATTTTTTAATCACCTAGCTGTACAGGACCCGCACCCGTCTACGCTTCCCCCTGTCTCTGTTCCACATCTTATTTTCAGTCTCATCGTACCAATTCGTGCATTTCTTTGGGATCCCATCTGCTTCTCATTGCGTGCTGAAACCCACAGAGACGCTGACGTGGCAAAGGTGGAAGCTCTGTACAAGCGTGGAGTGGAGGAGTACGTGGTGAGTCTCTCTCCCCCCTTTCACCTCCGGTCCCTTCTCTTCCCCCCTCCTCCTTCTCTCCCACCTCATCCTCGCCTGTGCCCTTCCTCCCATTTCCTCTCCTCCCATTTTCTCTCCTCCCATTTCCTCTCCTCCCATTTCCTCTCCTCCCATTTCCTCTCCCCCCATTTCCTCTCCCCCCATTTCCTCTCCCCCCATTTCCTCTCCCCCCATTTCCTCTCCCCCCATTTCCTCTCCTCCCATTTCCTCTCCTCCCATTTCCTCTCCTCCCATTTCCTCTCCTCCCATTTCCTCTCCTCCCATTTCCTCTCCTCCCATTTCCTCTCCTCCCATTTCATCTCCTCCATTTCCTCTCCTCCCATTTCCTCTCCTCCCATTTCCTCTCCTCCCATTTCCTCTCCTCCCATTTCCTCTCCTCCCATTTCCTCTCCTCCCATTTCCTCTCCTCCCATTTCCTCTCCTCCCATTTCCTCTCCTCCCATTTCCTCTCCCCCCATTTCCTCTGCCTTCCTCCCCCCTCCCTCACTCAATCACTGCCTCGACGCTCTTCTCACCGTCCTCCCTCCAATTCCGTTCCACAATTCTCTCCCCAGTCACCCCCTCTCTGGCAGGCCTATCTCGCCTTCCTCGCACCCCACCACCCCGCCATCACCACACACACTCCAACGGCCTGCAGCTCTTTATCACTCCTCTCCACCCCTCTCCACCCCTCTCCGCCCTTTTCCGCCCCCAGTCACCTTCCCTCTGGCAGGGATACCTGGCTTTCCTAGCAGCCCACCACCCCACCATCACCACACACACCCCTGACGGCCTCAAGCTTTTTCGAACCGCAGCAGAGCAAGCTCTCTCCCAGGTTGGGTTACATCTGAGGGAGGGCGCATCTGTCTGGGGGACTTTCAGGGGATTCGAGATGGAGGTTCTGCGGAAAGTAACGGACGAGGAGGAAAAGACAAAGCAGGCCGGCCGGGTGCGCGGGCTGTTCCATCGCCAGCTGGCGGTGCCTCATTTGCAGCTGCCTGCTACGCTGGCAGCGTATCTGGCTTGGGAGGCGGAGGAAGGCGGCGAGAAGCTTCCTACACCCTCGTCCGAGTCGTCTCCGGACGTCGAGAAGCTTCCGGGAAGCGTCAAGGCAGCATATTTGAAAGCGGAAAAGATGGTGGGGGAGCGGAGGGGTGTGGAGGAGAGGGTCGAGAAGCTGGAAGGGGAGAAGAGGCGAGTGGAGGAGGAGGGGGGTGGTGCAGCGGCAGGGGGGGGGGGAGGAGGAGGAGGTGAGAGTGGCACTGCTCCTACGTTTGAGAAGACGGATGAGCTTATGCAGGCATACACGGTATGGCCTTGTGCTTGGTACAGTGACATACCTCCCCTTCTCGTCTTTTAGAAAAAAACAATTGGTGTCTACTCCCTTTCCCCCCCTTTACCCCCCGCGGAACCACCCTCACACATCCCTCCCTCTCCACTCTCCCTCCGGCCCTCCTTATTCAATCACCCCGCTTCCCCCCACCCCTCTCTCCCAGGAGTACATGGCGTTGGAGGCAGCCAGTGGGGACATGCCACGTCAGCAGGCCATGCATGAGAGGGCGGTGACGGGCCTCCCGGTGGTGTTTGACGTGTGGCAGAAATACATTGACCTCGTTGACCACAAGCTCAAGGTGCGTGTTGACTTGCATTGACCTCTTCTGTTTCGGTTGACCTGGTTGACCACACCACTGCGCATGATGAGAGGGCGGTCACGGCACTGCCTGTCCTCTCTCTGCCTGACGTGAAAAAAGGGTGTTTTTGAGACGTCTCAAAAACACCCTCCTTTTTTACATCTCAAACATACGTTTTATTCATGGGCCACTGTGCATGATGAGAGTGCGGTCACGGCTCTGCCTGTCCTCTCTCTGCCTGACGGGAAGGACGTATGGCTCTAGTACATTGACTGACCTCGTTGACCATCAGCTGCGCGAGTTGAAGTAAAAATGTGTGCTGAAATGCGTTGACTTGGTTGACCACACCACCACTGTGCATGAGAGGGCAGTCATGGCTCTGCCTGTGGTGTTTGACAGGTGGCTGACGCTGAAACACGTTGACCTCGTTGACCGAAAACTCAAGGTGATTGAATGTGGAATAGAAAACATTTACTTGGTTGAGCACAGCATCACAGACCCAAGGTAGGGATTGACCTGGTTCACCACAAACTCAAGATGCATGCAATACGAAACTTTGACTCGGTTGACCACAGGCTGAAGGTGCGCTGAAGTGCATTGACCTCCTTGTACCCAAAGTTGAAAGCACTTGCTTTCCGTGGTTTAGCCTTTAACATGTGCTATCTTTAACAGGAACAAACAAACTAATACCGTAAGCAACTGTTTATGTTAAAGGCGATTTTTTTTTAATATTTAGATTAAGCTGGCTTTATCTTCTTGCCGTTTTCCCTCTCTCATAACTCCAGGTGCCTTCAGTTGTTCGCTCGGTTTATTCGCGGGCAGCCCGAAACTGCCCGTGGGTGGGCACGCTTTGGACGCACTATCTGCTTGCTCTTGAGCGATTGGGGGCTGCTGATGCTGACGTGGCAGAGGTAGGCAGCCCTTGTCGTCAGGGTGAACGTTTTTCTTTGTGTTTTATGTATACATGTAGATGTATTAAGTATACATGTTTTTCCTTTTTCTTTAATATGAAATTGCATCTATTGCGTTCTCTCTCCCTCTGCCTACAAATTCTCATCTGGTTCCCCTTATTCTTCTCTGGGCTGTGCAGGTCTTTGAGAAGGCCCTTGTCTCAGGAGTTCAGTCTGCAGATGAGGTTAGTCCTCCCTTCCTCACCTCGTCGATCCTCCCACCACTGACAGTGTTCCGCCATTTTATCCTCACCACGTTCACTGCTTTCGCCTAGTTTCAAGAAGATAAATAAATCCAGCTGTTTGCTGCTTCTGCCTCCCGCCCTGTTGGTTGGGAAACTTGAAGTTTCTTGCTGTTTATCCCGCCTTGTTCACCCCTTTACCACAACTGTGCTTTGACATTTTCCTCGCCCGCCTGGATGGCTCCTAAGTTGACTCAAAATTCAATGCTTAACATCCCAACCCAACTGCTCTCATCATGAAAGAGCAGGTGAAAGATGTGCACGGTGTGCAGGTGCATTCGAAGATAGGTAGCTCAGGGATATATGATGTGTACCGAGACAAAATGACAGATATGTATGTGCTGAGATCACGAAAAACGCATGCACTCATATCAGTAAGAAACATTTCAGTTAGAAGGGCTTCTGGAAAGGCAGCCGAGCTACTCTATCTTTTGCAACGTTTTCTGTTTCCTGTTGCCTACATGTTTACCATGTCTGAAAACGTGAAACTTGTTTATTTTGTGTCAAGGAAGGAGGTAGAAGTGTGTAAGAATAAAAATTGGCGGAAGGCACTCATTGGAGATGAGGATAGTGATGATGGGCATTAATTCCAACCAAACAGCCCCTTCCTCACTCTATTCATCTCCAATGAGCGTCTTTCGTCAGTCTATATTCTTATACACCTCTACCTCCTTCTTTCGCAGAGAAAGTTCAAGTTCCACGTCTTCAGGCATGGTAAACGCGTGGGCAACAAGAAATTGAAAATATTGTAAAACGTTAAGTACCTCGGTTGCCTTTCCAGCAACCCTTCTATCTAAAATATTTCTTCCTATTACGGTGCATGTGTTTTTTGTGATCTCAGCACATGATATCTGACCTTTTGTCTCGGTACACACCATAAATCACTGAATTACCTACCTTCAAATGCACCTGCACTCCGGGCACACCTTTCACTTGCTCTTTCATAATGTGAGTAGTCGGGTTGGTCAGGTTGCGCTGTTGAGTCGGGTCGGGTACGGCTCCGCTACATCTTGCCTGGTCGTTTGCCTTGTTGTTCAATGGAAATCTTTCATCCCTTGTCGTCCATCCTTCCATCCCCCGCTAGGTTTCGTCACTAGACTGTGACATCTTACTCATTAGACAACTTTTGAGAAGTCTCAAAAGTTTCCCCATCCTTCCACCTGCCGTCACAATACTATGATGGCAATGATATGATAGGAGGGATGGACGACAATGGATGAAAGTTTCCCATTAACCTGACATCTTACTCAGTAGACTCCCCACTCACCCTCCCTCACCTCCTCCCCTCGTCCCCATTTCTCCCTCCCCCTTCCCCCCCGCCATTCCAGTACTTTGACATTTTTCTCACCCGCCTGGACGGTTTGAGGCGCCGCCTCTTGCCTCCTCCTGAACCTTCCAAGGGCACTGCTAAAGGGGTTGTTCTTAGCGAGGATGAAAAGACGGCGCTGGAAGCCACGCTGCGAGCAACCTTTGAGGTATGCATGCAGAACGCGTGTGATCAGATCAGACCAGCTGGCCCCTCCTCCTGAGCCTTGCAAGGGCGCTGTTGAAGGGGCTGCTCTTAGCGAGGATGAAAAGTGCAAGCTTGTAGCCCCCTTGCGAGGTCTGTCGTGTGATTGGATTAACTCATGCCGTCTGGATCTTCCAAAGGAGCTGTTAACGGGACTGTCCTTAGCGAGGAAATCACTGAAGCTGGTAGCCTCGCGAGTATCTTGTTTGTGATTGAAGTAGTCCCCTCCTAAGTAGTCGTTTCAACCAACAGCAAGACCAGTTGCACTTGAAAACCACTGGGCATGTCTTGGGGTAGCAGGCGCATATTAAAGTTCACCTCACCTGGTTTTTTCCGCTGATTCCCGCTCCCCACCTTAACCACCCTTGCAGCGAGCAGCTGAGTTCATGGCTTCATATTTCCCCGACCACCAGCAAGCACAGCTGCACCTGGCGGGGTACCAAGCGCACATAGAATGTCAGCTGCAGAAGGCAGGGGGGGAGGGGGCATCTGGAGCGGTGGAGGAAGCTGCTGGAAGGGCCATCTGGGAGCAATTCGTGAGAAAGCAGTGAGTTTCGGGGATTCTGCTGCTGCTGCTGCTGCTGTTGCTGCTGTTGCTACTTCCAATCTGTTGCCTTTAATACTGCTCCCGTGCTGCTTCCCTGCCACATACGGCTTACTGCATGGCCATGTTTCATGCGGAGCGGGGGTGCCTCTGATTGTGTGGTGTGGCCTGCACTGCACAGCACAGCACAGCACAGCACAGCACAGCACAGCATAGCACAGCACAGCACAGCACAGCACAGCACAGCACAGCACAGCACAGCACAGCACAGCACAGCACAGCACAGCACAGCACAGCACAGCACACTGCGTGTTCTCCCTTCCACCTTTGAGGCGCCTCAAAAGGCCTGCACAGCACAGCACACTGCGTGTTCTCCCTTCCACCTTTGCTTCCTTCTATGTATGCCTCCGTGCCTTGCGTGTCTCCCCTTTTCTACCCCACTATCTCAACAGCGGCACCTGTCACCAGGCCGGCCGGGCTTTACTCAGTTTGAGACGGGTGGGGCTACAACCAGGCACGGTCGGTCTTAACACACCCTCCCATTGCGCTCCTGTTACCCTCCTCTCCTGCTCTCCTGCTCTCCTGCTCTCCTGCCCCCCTTGTTTCTTCTCCCCAACAGCGGCTCCTCTCACCAAGCCTGGCTGGGTTTCGCTCAGTTTGAGACGGAGAGGGGGTGCTACAACCAGGCCCGATCAGTCTTCCGTCGCTGCTACAGCCGGAAGTTTGACTCTCCCTCAGGCACAGAGGTATGGTTTCTTCTTGTTAGGCGCCTCATAATAATGCTGTATTTCTGCTGCTGCTACAGGTGGAATTCTGTCTCACTCCCAATGTGTACAGGAGCTGTTCTGCATGGATTTTGTTCGAAAGAAAGTGGGAACACACGCTACTAGGTGACTTGTCAGTCGAGCTTGTGTTGTTTTGAGACGTCTATCACGTCCGGAAACAACGCTTTTATCATGTGCGTGTCCGTTTATCCGTGTGTGTCTCATGTGTGCAGGAGGTGTGCTCAGCATGGACACGGTTCGAGAGGGAGTGGGGAACTCTCGGGGACCTGGATCTTGCAGCAGACAAGGTACGGTTTAAGGGTTGACTTTTGAGTCGACTCAAAAGTCACCTTGGTCTTCATCAGACAAGGTACGGTTCAGGAGAGAATGCGTCAACCGGCCTCTTTTTTTTATAAACATCTTCCGAAGCTGGAAATGCTAATAAGGAGGACATGTCATGAGGAGGGACCCGTGCCTGAGCGTTTGCTTCTCCCTCCTCGATCAGGGCTGCTCTCTCCTCCATCTCCTCCCTCCCCTGCTCTTTACCCATCTGCTCGTATCAACAGGTTGTTCCGCGCTTGGCTGAAGTGGCAGCCTATCACACACACAAGGATCAGGCACAGCTGTACCAACAGTGCTCACTCTCTTCCCTTCTTTCCTGCTGTTTCTACTCTCTCCTTCCGTTTGTTCTTCTCAGGTTGCCCCTCGCCTGGCTGAAGTAGCAGCGTATCACACACACGAGGATCAGGCACAGCTGTACCAACAGTGCCCGCTCTCCTCCCTCCGTTGCTGCTGTTTTTCCTCTCTCTTTCTAATTGTTCTTCTCAGGTTGCCCCTCGCTTGGCTGAAGTGGCAGCCTATCACACACATGAGGATCAGGCACAGCTGTACCAACAGCACCGGCAGCAGCAGGAGCAGAAGCAACAGCAGCAGATGGCGCAAGGGCGCGGGCAAAAGCGCAAGGTGGCAGGAGGGGACGCACGAGGAGAAGGAAGGGGTGGAGGGAAGGGGAGAGGAGGAGGAGGAGCAGAAGGAGGAGAAGGTGGAGGAGGAGGTGGGGAGAGAGGGGGGGAGGGTGGGGGAAGAGACCGAGGCAAGAGGCAGCGTCCGGGATTAGGGTTTGACAAGAGGCAGGGGCGAGGGTCGGAGGGGCTTGGCAAGGAGGCAGGTTCGGCAGGTGATGGTTCGGCAGAGGAAGGGAAAGAGACCGTGGGTGGGAAAGGAAAGGGAGGGGAGAAGGCGGAAGATGGGGGAGAGAAAAGGGAAGAGGGAGGGGAGGCACAGGAGCAGGAAGGGCCGAAGCATGATGGGGAGGATAAGGAGGCAGAGAGGAAGGAAGGAGAAGAGAAGGGGCAGCAGGGGCAGCAGGGGCAGCAAGGGCAGCAACAGGGCCGCTTTTTCACGGACAAGAATACGGTGTTCCTCTCGAACCTCGATCTTAGTGTGAGTCCTGGCCTAACTTAACTCACACACATTGAGTAGCCTAGGAGCAAGACAAACCTGCTACTCGCACTGAGAAGAAGCAGGGGCGATTTTCCACAGACAAGAATACAGTGCTTCTCTTGAACCTGGATCTTAGTGTGAGTCGTGTGGCCTAACTTACTCACACTGAGTACCCTACTTACTATCTCGCCTTTTGCAGTTTCGTTTCGTTGTCGTTCTGTTCCGTCTCTTGTGTGTTTTCGTCTCCCCTCGAGACAATTACAGGCAGATGAGACCAGGGAGCTGCTGAAGGTCTGTCCATCCGTTCCTTGCCCCGGATGCTGCTTTTCTGAGATTGGCAACGAGCGTGTTTGATCGCAGCAATGAGTCGTGTTTTGAGTCGACTCAAAACACCAAGGGCTGTCCTGTCCTGGATGCTGCTTTTCTGAGATTGGCAAGGAACAGGTTCGATCGCAGCAAGCTGATCGGAGAAGGGCTGCGTCTTAAGTGCTGCGGCCCGCCTATTCCTTCTCTCTTGCTTCTCTCTTCTGTGTTTCCCGCTCACCAGACAACTCAGGAGGACGAGATCCGGGAGCTGCTGAAAGAAGCCCTAGCAGGGTTCGGTCCCGAAGGTTGATTAAGCGTGTTCTAAAGGTTTGCTGCTACTCCCGACATGAATCTTGATTCTCTCTTCTGTCTTTCCCCCTCACCAGACGACTCAGGACGAGATCCGGGAGCTGCTGAAGGATTGTTGCTTTTGAGGCACCTCAGAAGTTCAATCTCGTGTCTCCCTTGCCTCTCTCTCTCCTGCTTCTCTCCCTTGCTTCTCTCCCTTGCCTCTCTCTCTCCTGCTTCTCTCCCTTGCTTCTCTCCCTTGCCTCTCTCTCTCCTGCTTCTCTCCCTTGCTTCTCTCCCTTGCTTCTCTCCCTTGCTTCTCTCCCTTGCCTCTCTCTCTCCTGCTTCTCTCTTCTGCCTTTGCCTCCCACCAGACGACTCGGGACGAGATCCTGGAGCTTCTGAAAGATTGTGGCGAGATTCGGGACGTGCGGATGGTGTTCAACCACTCCACTGGGCAGTTCCGGGTGAGTGTGCCACGTGGCTAGAGGGTTGAGTGCCACGTGGCAGGTAGGGTGGGTGCCACATGACAGTGCTAAGGGATTGTGGCGAGATACGGTATGTAAGGGTGGTGCTCAACCACTCCACTGGGCAATTCCGGGTGAGTGCCAAGTGGCAGATCAGGGTGAATGCCACGTGGCAGTTCAGGGGAGTGACTACTGGCAGTGCCTTGTGGCTGTTAACACGAGGGCCACGTGGCTGTTGGGGCTGTTGTTGCTTGTCTGAAGCCCCTTTTCCTCTGTCTCTTCGTCTTCGCACCTGCGCTGCCCTTCTCAGGCTGTTTCCATTCATTGAACTGAACTTCCATCCTTTTCTTTTCCTCCCCCACCCACTTATCTTGCATACTTTCTGCACTCTCCTCTCTCTCAGGGCTTCGCCTACGTGGAGCTGGGCAGTGCAGAGGCGGTGGCAGCAGCAGAGAAGCTCAACAGGACGCCAATGAGAGGGCGCCAGGTGTCCATTAAGAAATCTGACCCCAGCCATGCCTCCGGGCACAGGGACAGGGGCAGGGGGAGAGGAAGGGGGTGGGGGGGGAGGGGGAGGAGGAGGGGGGAGAGGAAGGGGTGGTGGAGGAAGGGAGGGGCATGACGAAGCAGATGAGGAAGGTAAGGGCTGCTGTTTCTTGATACTCTTTCTGCTGGCTTGATGCTGTTTCTTGAACTACGAGTTGGCGATATCATGGCTCGTTTTACTTGTCACATTGTACATTTCTTAGGTTGAAATGGGGGATATACCAGATGTAGCTCCTTCTTATACCTTCCTACCCAATTTCCCACTCCCTTTCCTGTCCTTCCCCTCTTTCCCTCACCCCTCCACTCCCCCCCACCCCCCTCTCGCTCGCCCCCCTCCCCCCAAATCTTCCCACTCCCCTCCTTGCAGCCTACCATCCTTCCCACCGAGGCGGCAGAGGCGGGCGGGGAGGCCGCGGCTTGCAGCCTTTGTCAGCTAGTGCCAGGCGGGGGGGTCAGCTGCAGCTGATTGGCTCGCCAACCTTTGCCATGCCACGGGCTGTGGGACAAGCCCTGGGGAGAGGTGTGGCTGGAAGGGCACGGGGGAGAGGAGGGGGGAGAGCAGGGGGGAGGGGTGGTATGGGGAGAGGACAGCAGGGGGGAGGCGGTGCGAAGGGGGAGGAGATGGGTGGAGGGGGGGGAGGAGGGGGAGAGGCGAATGGGGAGGCGGGAGGAGATGGTGGTGTGCCACTTGACTCTAATGCTGCTTTTCGAAAGCTTTTTGCTAAGAAGCTTGAGAGCTGAAGCTTGAACTCATTGTTGTCCTTCGACATCTGGTTTGATTTCGCGTTAGTAAGGGCGTATTCCTGCAGCCTCCTATCAAGGCCACCTCCTATCAAGAATGTACTTTTGCCTGGGAAAAGTAGCAAGAGGTTTTGGGTTTAGGGGATTTTTCAGTGTGAGCTTGATAGGAGGTCAGATTGATAGGAGATAGGAATACGCCCTAAGGAGTGTAGTTAATGTTTGGACCATACTATTTTTGAACAAGTGATTTTTGTAATGCAGTGACGTCTCTGAGATGATAGCTCTCTGTCATTCGTTTATTGAGCTAGACTGTAAACTGGTGAGTGGCCTTGGGTGTATAGCAAGCATAAACATTGTTCGTCTATACAAGAGCTCTTGTAACTTCTCTCTACGTCGAATCCGTAAGTTGCTCTACAGTGCAGTGGATCCTCCTGAAACAGGTTACATTTTGAACCTTTTACTTATCAGCGGGAAAAGCACACCGCACACACCGAGAATATTCTCTTTTGCATCATTCGCCGAACCCTTGCTTGCTGGGAGCACTCTCAAAGCACTGCAACCTATCACTGTGCGTCCTCCTTTCCCGTCGCATTTGCTTTATTCCCTGCCCGCGCTGCGTTAAGATTCCACCATCACACCGCGGCTGTTTTTGGAAGCTTCGGGGTGGTTTGGATCTGGTTTGGTATGGTTTGGTCTGGTTCGGTCTAGCAGCCAACTGCAATTTCAGTTGATGGTGGCACGCTCTCGCGGCACCATGCTGCCGCCGCCGCACGATGGCAGCGTGATGTTGCGGCAAGATGAAAAAATTTAATTGGCACGTGCCACGTGGAACGGTCCCACGGTAAACTTTCAAGGCTATCCGCAAGGGAAAACCTTGGCCGGCTTTCTTCATGCATTCTTGCTCTGGCTTGGATTTCGTGGCAACAGAGAATGCGCTCCTGGTTTCCGTGGTCTACAACGTTTAACTGCGATTATCATGGTCCCAAAACGGTCTGATAAAATCACACTTCGGTACCTCGTTTTCTCTCTTTTCAAGTCCATGGCTGCAAGCATATACTAGGCTGCAGATTTGCGTGTCAAGCAGCCCCATCCAGCCCCTGAACCGTCAATGAAGGTTGTGGGTGGGTGGGATGAAGAGGGAGCTCACCACCCAATTTGCATTTCTCACGTTTGAAGCGATCTTCAGTAGTATTATCCTATTTTACATCAGCAGCATAATCCTTCACGGCAGTGTTGCTGCTTCTGACGCTTGGAGCTGCTGTTCGTGACGACCGTCGTTCCTACTCGCGCAAAAGATTATTAAAGCGACAAAACCGGGCATCCGTGCGCGTTCATCGAGTTCGCAAGTAAGTCAGCTCGAACTCGGGTGGAGGAGGCGGAATAAAAAAAAACGTAGTGATTGTCAGAGATTCTCGCTCAAGTTGACCGACGATGAGGCGTAGGGACAGGAAGCACCAAGGAGCACTAGTGACCTAACGAATTGCGTTTGAGTAGGCTTATAGGCAATCTCGTCGGGGCTTTACAAAAACTCTTGAAGGCAAAAAGCCTCTTTAAGACGACTTGGTACTTCTAGAACTCAGCAGTAGGCATTGGTGCAGCTGTTTAGGTTACCAGGTTCTCGTCTGTTGCTCCCTTTTCCTCTTGACAAAGGTATCCCACACGTGGCGATGCCGGCTGAGGTGGCAGTAGCGGGGGGGTTCACTGGGACGACATTAACGGCGGCGATCACCTCCTGTAGAGCGCAAAATGGGCAATCGACGGCTCTGGCGAGTTCGACAGTGTGCAGTGTACGGAGATTCGCTGACTTGCGGACGACAGGAAAACCGACGATGACGATGACGACAAACGTAGCGCCGAGTCAAAAAGCAGATCGCGCGAGGCTACGGCTGTGCGACAGTGGCAGCAGCTTGGATGCTTTTGCATATGGCCGTGCGACGCGACGCTTTCTCGCAGAGCCAATCGTGCGACGCCGTGCGACCGCCGGGTGCGACAGGTCGGCCTCTCTGCGATTCCAGTTCAGGGGACCGCCATCCACGGCGACGCCACGCCTCGACGTTAAGGTGGGCAAGGGGCGCGTAACAGTTGTTGTTCTAAGGCACCAGCCTTTTTGAGGCGCCTAACAAAAGTTGCAAGGCACCAGTCTCTTCCGCCTAACAAAAGATTTTTGAGTCGACTCAGACAAAAATAATGCGCGGGTGCTAAAAAAAAATAGTCGTTAACGTGGGCCGTTAGTGCCGGTCTTCAGGCGCCTGAGAAATAGACATATAGTTGGACCTGGTAATTCCGAAGCGCTTAGAAAGTAGAGTTGAGCTAGGCGTAGTTACTCGCGGGTCTGATCACCTTGCCTTCTCGCGCCCCTTGCCTTGATCCCGCCTCGCCCTCACCCTGTCGCTCAACCCGTCGTTCACTCCCATCAGGCATGCGACGGCGACGACGGTGATGACGTGGACACGAGTGCCTTCTCCTCTTCCGGCAACGGCGCGCTTCACCGCGTGGGCGGCTTGGCCGCGGTGACTGCTGACGTGTCACTCGGGGACGCACTTGACGAACTTGGCGGCGGCCCGGAGGAGCGGCTCGGCGTGAACGGGCGGCGATTAAAGTTCAAATTGGGCGGCTCGGAGGAAGCTTCGTCGGAGCTTCTTGGGGCGGCGGCTAAGGAGGTTGAGAAAGGGGTAGAGGCGGTGGGATCGGCGGCGCTTAAAACGCGGGAGACGGAGAGATCGGTGGAGAGCGAGGAAGAGACGAAACGAAAGATGAGGTGAGGAGACTGTGAAGGGATTTTCAAAGGAGGCAAGCTCTTAATTTTAACGTATTAACTCCGCCCCCTTACCAGCCCATGAACCCCCGTCGTCCCCTCCCCCTTTCCTTTGCTCCCCGCTCTCCTCTACTCCCCCTTCCCTTTGTTTTCCCCCTCCCACTTGTCGCACTCCCTCTTTCCCCGTCCTTCCCACCTCACTCAGGGTATCCCATGGCCGGGTCATATCAGTGCTTCTCTTCCTCCCCCTCCTCTCAACGCTCCTCCTTGTCGACTCCTTCATCTGGCGCCTCATCCGCCGCCCCTTAACCGCCTTCTAACCCCCTTGCCCTCGTCCCACTTGGCCCTGTGCTTCCTCCTCCCAACCACAGGATATCCCACGGCCGAATCATCTCGGTTCTACTCTTCCTCGCCCTCCTCTCAACGCTCCTCCTCGTCGACTCCTTCATCTGGCGCCTCATCCGCCGCCCCCTCGCAGCCTTCTTCCTCACAATTCCCTTCCTAGCCGCCGCCGCCACGTCAGCATACGCGGGCGCCATAGCCATTCCGTTCCTGCGCTCGCTTAAAGCCCAGCAGGTGGTGCGAGAGGAGGGCCCCGCCACGCATGTGACTAAAGCGGGGACGCCCACTATGGGGGGGCTGTTCTTCGTGCCGCTGGGTGTGCTTGTAGCGAGGGTGGCGACTGGGAGTCCGCCTGAGCTGGCAGGGGTGACAGCGGCAACGGTGGCGATGATGGCGGTGGGGGCGGTGGATGATGGGTTGTCTCTGGCTAAGAAACACAACTACGGGCTTACACCGATGGGGAAGCTTGGTCTACAGGTAAGCAAACACAAAGATGCGAGGGAGAGGGGGGAAGGGAGAGGGGGGAAGGGAGAGGGGGGAAGGGAGAGGGGGGAAGGGAGAGGGGGGAAGGGAGAGGGGGGAAGGGAGAGGGGGGAAGGGAGAGGGGGGAAGGGAGAGGGGGGAAGGGAGAGGGGGGAAGGGAGAGGGGGGAAGGGAGAGGGGGGAAGGGAGAGGGGGGAAGGGAGAGGGGCTAAGACTTGTAGCGAGGGTGGCGACTGGGAGTCCGCCTGAGCTGGCTGGAGTAACGACATCCACTGTGGCGATGATGGCTGTGGGGGCGGTGGATGATGGCTGTGGGGGCGGTGGATGATGGCTGTGGGGGCGGTGGATGATGGCTGTGGGGGCGGTGGATGATGGCTGTGGGGGCGGTGGATGATGGCTGTGGGGGCGGTGGATGATGGCTGTGGGGGCGGTGGATGATGGCTGTGGGGGCGGTGGATGATGGCTGTGGGGGCGGTGGATGATGGCTGTGGGGGCGGTGGATGATGGCTGTGGGGGCGGTGGATGATGGCTGTGGGGGCGGTGGATGATGGCTGTGGGGGCGGTGGATGATGGCTGTGGGGGCGGTGGATGATGGCTGTGGGGGCGGTGGATGATGGCTGTGGGGGCGGTGGATGATGGCTGTGGGGGCGGTGGATGATGGCTGTGGGGGCGGTGGATGATGGGTGTGGGGGCGGTGGATGATGGCTGTGGGGGCGGTGGATGATGGCTGTGGGGGCGGTGGATGATGGCTGTGGGGGCGGTGGATGATGGCTGTGGGGGCGGTGGATGATGGCTGTGGGGGCGGTGGATGATGGCTGTGGGGGCGGTGGATGATGGCTGTGGGGGCGGTGGATGATGGCTGTGGGGGCGGTGGATGATGGCTGTGGGGGCGGTGGATGATGGCTGTGGGGGCGGTGGATGATGGGTGTGGGGGCGGTGGATGATGGGTTGTCGCTGGCTGAGAAGCATAACTGTGGGCTCACCCGCTTGGGCTGCAGGTAAGGAGCACAACCAGTGAGGGAAAGGGGGCTGCGATGGTGATGGTGGCGATGCTGCTGGTTGGGGCGGTGGATGATGGGTTGTCTCTCACTAAGAAACACAACTGTGGGCTTTTCCTGATGGGGCAGCTTGGTTTACAGGCGAGGCAGCACACAGATAAGGGAGGGAGCAGAGTGATAGCAGCAACGGCTGCAATGATGGCAGTGGGAGCGGTGGAAGATGGGGCAGGGCAGGGTTGTCGCTATAACTATGGGCAGGTGAAAAAGCATAACTATGGACTCATCCTGATGGTCAAGCTTGGGCTGCAGGTCAGTTGATCCTTGCACGGTGACAGTGGCGATGGTGGTGGTGGGGAGAGTGGGTGATGGCGATGATGGTGGTGGGGAGAGTGGGTGATGGCGATGGTGGTGGTGGGGAGAGTGGGTGATGGCGATGATGGTGGTGGGGAGAGTGGGTGATGGCCATGATGGTGGTGGGGAGAGTGGGTGATGGCCATGATGGTGGTGGGGAGAGTGGGTGATGGCCATGATGGTGGTGGGGAGAGTGGGTGATGGCCATGATGGTGGTGGGGAGAGTGGGTGATGGCCATGATGGTGGTGGGGAGAGTGGGTGATGGCCATGATGGTGGTGGGGAGAGTGGGTGATGGCCATGATGGTGGTGGGGAGAGTGGGTGATGGCGATGGTGGTGGTGGGGAGAGTGGGTGATGGCGATGATGGTGGTGGGGAGAGTGGGTGATGGCCATGATGGTGGTGGGGAGAGTGGGTGATGGCCATGATGGTGGTGGGGAGAGTGGGTGATGGCCATGATGGTGGTGGGGAGAGTGGGTGATGGCCATGATGGTGGTGGGGAGAGTGGGTGATGGCCATGATGGTGGTGGGGAGAGTGGGTGATGGCCATGATGGTGGTGGGGAGAGTGGGTGATGGCCATGATGGTGGTGGGGAGAGTGGGTGATGGCCATGATGGTGGTGGGGAGAGTGGGTGATGGCCATGATGGTGGTGGGGAGAGTGGGTGATGGCGGTGGTGGGGAGAGTGGGTGATGGCCATGATGGTGGTGGGGAGAGTGGGTGATGGCCATGATGGTGGTGGGGAGAGTGGGTGATGGCCATGATGGTGGTGGGGAGAGTGGGTGATGGCCATGATGGTGGTGGGGAGAGTGGGTGATGGCCATGATGGTGGTGGGGAGAGTGGGTGATGGCCATGATGGTGGTGGGGAGAGTGGGTGATGGCCATGATGGTGGTGGGGAGAGTGGGTGATGGCGGTGGTGGGGAGAGTGGGTGATGGCCATGATGGTGGTGGGGAGAGTGGGTGATGGCCATGATGGTGGTGGGGAGAGTGGGTGATGGCGGTGGTGGGGAGAGTGGGTGATGGCCATGATGGTGGTGGGGAGAGTGGGTGATGGCCATGATGGTGGTGGGGAGAGTGGGTGATGGCCATGATGGTGGTGGGGAGAGTGGGTGATGGCCATGATGGTGGTGGGGAGAGTGGGTGATGGCCATGATGGTGGTGGGGAGAGTGGGTGATGGCGGTGGTGGGGAGAGTGGGTGATGGCCATGATGGTGGTGGGGAGAGTGGGTGATGGCCATGATGGTGGTGGGGAGAGTGGGTGATGGCCATGATGGTGGTGGGGAGAGTGGGTGATGGCCATGATGGTGGTGGGGAGAGTGGGTGATGGCCATGATGGTGGTGGGGAGAGTGGGTGATGGCCATGATGGTGGTGGGGAGAGTGGGTGATGGCCATGATGGTGGTGGGGAGAGTGGGTGATGGCCATGATGGTGGTGGGGAGAGTGGGTGATGGCCATGATGGTGGTGGGGAGAGTGGGTGATGGCCATGATGGTGGTGGGGAGAGTGGGTGATGGCCATGATGGTGGGGCTGGTGCATGATGGGCTGTTTCTGGCTCGGAAGCAAAACTACGGACTCACCCTGATGGCCAAGCTTGGGCTGCAGGTAAGGAAGCTCCAAGACTAGAGGGAGAGTGGGAAGGGTGAGGAGTGGCAGCGGTGACAGAGGCGATGATGGCGGTGGGGGCGGTGCATGACGGTTTGTCTCTGGCCAGGAAGCAAAACTATGGACTCAGCCTGATGGCCAAGCTTGGGCTGCAGTGGGAAAGCGAGGGGGGCTAAGGCTTTTTTTAGTATTCTCGGGTTAGTGACGATGAGGGTGGCGACTGGGAGGGAGGGAGTTCCCCTGAGTTGGCAGGAGTGACAGCAGCAACGGTGGCGATGATGATGTTGGTGTGCAGTGGGCATGCATGGCCCTCAGCTACTGCTTGCTCGGATCCACTATGTGAATTTTACTTTTGAGAATTCTACTTTTGGGAATTCTACTTCTGGGAATTTTACTTTTGGTAATTCTATTTTTGGGAATTCTACTTTTGGGAACTCTACTTTTGGGAATTCTACTTTTGGGAATTCTACAGTGGGCATGCATGGCCCTCAGCTACTGCTTGCACAGGTCCACTTTTGAGGCGCCTCGAAAGAAGGCGCGTCCGCTACTGGTTGCTCGGGGCCAACCTGAAGTGCTGCTGCTGCTGCTTTCCTATAAGTTTCCTCAAGTGCTCCCCCTTTTCTTCGCCCCTCCCCTCCTCTTCCCCTCCCCCCCCCCCTCGTCCCCCCTCGTCCCCCCTCGTCCCCCCTCCTCACAACCCTACAGGTAGCAATAGGACTGGCACTCAGCTACTGGTTGCACGGGGCAAATCTTCAATCGCCCTATTCCATGTATGACTTGCCCTTCTCTTTATTCAAGCACTTAGCACGCGGCTTTGGCACCTGGCTCTCTGAATTTCTGCTTTGTTTGCAATGATTGTAATCTGTGTGTGTGTGTGTGTGTGTGTGTGTGTGTGTGTGAGAGAGAGAGAGAGAGAGAGAGAGAGAGAGAGAGAGAGAGAGAGAGAGAGAGAGAGAGAGAGAGAGAGAGAGCGGGAGGGCCCTACGTTTCTAACCATCATATGTGCATACCACGTGTTCTCTGCTGCTCCATCCATCTTTTCTTTATTTTTAATCTCATGCGTTTTCCCGCTTCCCCCCAACGCAATCTCCCTACTCGTCCTCCATCCACCTTTCTGACTGGATGCCCGGCGTATCATGCGTTTCAGGAAGAATATAGTGCCTTTTCCACAGCCAATCGGTCTCTGGTACTTTGGCAGGTATGCTTCTTCATTCATTGTCTCTTCCAGAGGCTATTTTTGAGGCTCCTCAAAAACAGAGGCTATTTTTTAGGCGCCTCAAAAACTGGTCTTTGGTGGTACTACTTTGGCAGGTATGCCTCCTTACAAATTGTTAAGGCGCCTCAAAAACTGGTCTCTGTTCATTCATTGTCTCTCCCAGAGGCTACGACTACAGTGCCATTGTAGTGTTATTCGTTTTCTCCGACCCGTCATGTTTCAGCAGTGTCATTTGATGGTATGACCATGTATGTATGTAGGCAGTTTTGTGCCCTTCATAAAATCGACCCTTTCTCCGTATAACCCCGTCCAGGTGGTGTGTACCCTTCTACAGTTTTCTGCGTGGCGGCAAAGAGCAATTCTGTCAACTTCACTCATGTTTGTACCCTTTATGAACCTCTATAAATCTACCCTCTCTATCTCCCTACAACTCCCTCCATCCAGGTGGTATGTGCCGGTAACGGTCTTCTGTGTGGCAGCAATGAGCAACGCTGTCAACCTCACAGATGGTCTTGATGGGCTGGCAGCCGGCACCACTGCCATTGCATTCATTGCTATGGCCATTGCCTGCCTTCCCATCTACCCTGGTAAGTCCCCCCCGCAACTTGGGAACTCATTTGCACCTTGGGAACTCATTTGCACCTTGGGAACTCATTTGCATCTCGAGAACTCCTTTTTTCACCTCACGATTAGACCGTATTATTCGTTCCACGTGGTCATTCAGGAGTTTTCGAGCCGACTCAAGGGCCACTTGTTTGCACCTCGGGAACTCATTTGCACCTCGGGAACTCATTTGCACCTCGTTACGGGGCCCAGTTACACATTCCACACATGGTCATGAGCCACTCGTGGCAGATTCAGGGTTGTAGACAGATTCATGAGCCACAGGTCAGGTCGTGTCGAGTCGCGTCCGGCCGGGCCGGGCCGGGCCTGATCGGGTCGGGTCGGGTCGGGTCGGGCCAGCCTGGGTCGGGCCGGGCCGGGTCGGGTCGGGCCAGGCTGGGTCTGGCCGGGTTGACGCTCATGCCTTGAAGTCGCAGACCCTTCCCTTCCATCCACATCTCCCACCTCCATTCTCCATCCCCATTCTTATCCCTCTCGCCATCCATGGGAGCGTTCGGAGCAGCGATGGCGGGAGCATGCATATGGGGTTTCACACAACCGCACAACCGCCACAAGGCGGCAGTGTCCATTCTCCACCACTTGCCGCTACTCGCTGCCCTCTCATTCTGATGCTCTCTCACTCACGCCCTCCCCTTCCATCCCCCCTCTCACCAGCCATGGGGGCGTTTGGAGCAGCGATGGCGGGGGCGTGCATGGGGTTTCTAGCGCACAACCGGCACAAGGCGGCAGTGTTCATGGGAGACACGGGCTCCTTGGCTCTCGGGGCGGCGCTCGCTGCAATGGCTGCCACCACCGGCCTCTTCTTCCCTCTTCTTATTGTGTCTGCTGTTTTCTTCCTCGAAACAGTTTCGGTCATGCTACAGGTAAACCCGGTTGCTGCATGCTTCGGTACAGATAGGTACAGATACGCACAGCCGCCATTGCTACAGGTAAACAGCCGCATACAGCTGCCGTCGCTACAGCTGCCATAACTACAACTGGCACAAGGCAACAGTGTTTATCAGAGACATGGGCTCCTTGGCTCTCGGGGCGGCCCTCTCTGCCACGGCTGATTGTTGGCCACTTCTTTCCACTCCTCGTCGCCTCGGCTGTTTTCTTCCTGGAGACTGTGTCGGTCATGTTACAGGTAAACCCAGTTGCTGCTGGCTTTGCTACAGGTACACTCACTTGCATGAAACTTTGCTTAAGGTACTCCTGAATGCACAGCCACAGGGTCTTCCAAATGGTCTACTCACGCTGTGTTTTTCTCTTAATCGTTTCCTTCACAACACAGGTCTCCTTCTTCAAGCTCACCAAGCGGATCACGGGCACCGGGTTGAGACTTTTCCGCATGTCGCCCTTCCACCACCACCTGGAGCTCTCGGGCATGGCGGAAACCACCGTTGTCATGCTAGCGTACATTGCCACGTTCCTGGCTGGAGCTGCAGCAGTCTGGGTGGCGTTGATTTCAGTTTGACCCCTAAGCGGTTGTTATCCGATTTGTTGCATCTTTTTTGTGTGTCATCTTACCTAAAAAGTGGTCCATGTTGTATACAAGTGCTAATATACTAACAAATGGTGAAGACTTGGAACTGGAAAGATAAGTTCAATGTTTAGAATTTTCGATCATCCTCGTCCAAACGAATTTCTATAATCAGAACTGGCGGGCAGTATATCGCGCCATTTGGCTTCTGTCAGGCAGCATCTGGGGAGGGCTGAACCTGCCTTGAACCCTCGAACGGATGCAACTCATGCTAGAGAAATTCAGCGGAGTGCGAAAGTTTTCATTGGCGGGTTTGACCGAAGTGCGAGAGTTGCGAAATCAACCATCGCGCTGTGTGTCAGAGCCTCACCTGGCGAGGGAGAAAGGCTCGTTGCGACAAATCAGCTCAGCAGGTGCGTTGCCGCGCCAAACTCGCGAGCTTGCGACGAAATCTTGCCCTCTAGAGTTTCTTCGAACCTTTGCAAACGTTGTCGCTCATATTTCGGCAAAAGGTTTGGCGCCCGTCGTTTGAACTAGCGACCCACTACACTGGCTGCTTCGTCGTAACTGCTCCTGCCCCTGCCTTCCCCTCAACCGGCTGCTATAGCCAATCACGGAAGAGCATCCGGAATTCATTGCGAATCGCAGACCTTGGGTGCGAGCTTGAGCGACTCGCTCGACTATTCGCAACCTCACACGCCAATCGCCGACCACCTCTCGCGAAGCCCCCTTTCTTGAATACGTTCGCAAGTTAGTTTCCGTACCCCTTCGTCGAGTCGCGTCGTCAAGAATTATCGAGCCGCCAATGCCACACATTTCAAATGTCGCTTTGTCCCCCTTCAATTCCCACATTGAAATTCACAACATTTGCCCATCCACAAATCAGTCTACATGCTCGAATCCCCTGTTGGGGAGGAATCTCCTGTTACACTGCACCTCATCGATCTCCATCCTCTTGTCAGCGCATCACCCTCTCCTCGATCCAGCCGCTTTCGCACCTCCGGACCTCTCCGTTTTGTTTTAAAGATGGGTCCAGTTCGGCTCTCGGCGCTCCCTGCGCTATTGTTTCTAGCTTTCGCATCGGTCGTTCTGGTTGGCGCAGAGGATTTTCTCGGGTTACCGACATCGAAGTACGAGCACGAATGGGCCAAGTACCGGCAACCTGACGGGCTACTGTCGCTCGACTACCTGAAGGAAGGCGGCGATGGCGACAAGATCAGAGGAAGGAAGGCCATGGAGAACCTTTTTGAAGTCGTCTTCGTAAGTGACGAAAGTCTTCTTGCTCAGCCAGAACTTTTAGTCTTATTGCCAATGCCTTTCGGTTTTGGAAGCGAAGATTCTCATCCACGCTTCAACTTCTTTCGTGATTCTCCCTCCCCCCCCCCTGCGTCCCGCAGTGCTCCGCTCTCCCGTCGAAGCAAGTGCTCCCGAACAACCTCTTCCAGAACGGCGAGTTTTCTGAAGGCATCAACCCGTGGCAAGGCTTCGGCTGGTCGTCCGTGTACGCGGTAAAGGACACCCGCTTAAATTACGGTGTCTGCACAAATCGCTCCGAAGCCTACTCCGGGCCGATGCAAAGCGTGTCCAACCTGCCGGCCGCGTCGTACGAGATGATCGTCTGGGTCCGGCTGAACTCCGGCGACCGGCAGTATGTGAACGCGAACGTTAACATTAACGGCCAGTATGTCTGCATCGGCGGCGCGATCGCAAAGTCTAATTGCTGGACGAAACTCATGGGCGGATTCACGCTACACGACCCGCTGGATAAAGCCAGTATTTATATCCAGGGCGCGAGTCCCGGGACCGAGATCTGGATCGCGCAGGCTTCGTTGCGAAAGGTTGACAAGGACGAATGGCTGGCGCAGCAGAAGGCGAGCATCGAGAAGCATCGCATGCGCGACGTGTCGTTGACGGTGACGGGAAATAACGGGCAGCCTGTGGACGTGGTGATTAACCAGATTCAGTCGGATTTTCCGTTTGGCGGGAACGTGAACGGCGCGATCCTTTACGACACCAACTACCAGAAGGTATGCGAATTGGAACGGATAAGGGATGTTGGAATATGCGTGGCAAGAAACGGTTCGTTTTCAAAAACAGATAATCTAAGCGTTCCGACTGGTAGCCGATATTTGTAGAGGGTAACGCATGAGCTTCGTGATGCTAGCCTTCCCCTTCGAACAGTGGCGAAAACCACAACAGCTCACCCTCTCCCCCCTCTCTTCGTCTTATTTTCTTTCCCTTGCCCTACAGTGGTTCAAAGATCGCTTCAACTGGGCTGTGTTCAATAACGAGGGCAAATGGTACTTTAACGAGGGGTATCGGCAGGGTGAAGAGAACTACACCGTAACAGACGCGATGACCAACTGGTTCCGTGCGCGAAACATCAACGTTCGCGCGCACAACCTGTTCTGGGCAGTCGAGAATTTCGTGCAGTCATGGGTAAAGGTGAGCATTGCTACACTTTGTACGTTTTACAAGTCCATGAGGCCCCTGCCTCTTCCCTTTCCCCCTACCACTTCCCCCCTCCACCCATCGCTCACTCTCCCCCACTCACGTTTCCGCCTCTCCACCCGCCTCAAGCCTTCCGCTTCCACGCGTCCGCCTCTTTTCCCCGCCCCTTCTCTCCCCGTTTCTCCTGGAGTTCGCAACCCCCTCCCCCTTCCTCCGCCCGTCCCCGTCCCTCTCCCCCCCACACACTCACTTCCTCCCCTGCTGGCTCCCCCTCTCCATGCCTTTCCTCCCGGTTCCGCTCTCCAGGACCTCAACGACGAGGATCTGTGGGCGGCGATGCAGCGAAGACTGAACCATGCGGTAACCCGTTACAAGGGGCAGGTGCAGCACTGGGACGTACTCAACGAGCCGCTTCACGGCAACTACTTCGCGGACCGTCTCGGGCCGCAGGTGCACGAGTGGATGTACAAGGCTACTGCAGCGATCGACAACAAAGCGCAGCTGTTTATTAATGATTATAATACCGTCGAGGAGTGCGACGGCGTGTCGCATCCCGAGTATTACCTCGCGAAGGTTTGGCAGATGACGACACGTGGCGCGCCGGTGACTGGGATCGGCGTCGAGTCGCACTACAGCAAGGAACCCCAGCCGGTGAGTTAAATTCTTGGACTGGGAACAATTTGAAATGTGAATGAGATGACGAAGTGGAACGTCAGTCAGTCAATCAGCACATCTCCGCTACCCTGTGCACTCAATACATAGAGTCCTTGAATCACCATACCCCGTCTGCTCTTCTCTATCACCACGTTTCTCCCCACAGGCTCGTCTCCGCCACGATCTGAACCAGCTGGCCGTCGCAGGCATTCCCATCTGGCTGACGGAGCTCGATTTCAACAAGGTGCCTGACGACGCGATCCGCGCGGACTATTTCGAGTCGGTCATGCGCGAGGCGTTCGCGCACCCCGCGGTGCACGGCATCGTGAACTGGTCCGCGGGGCGCGCCTCGTGCGACAAGTACAAGGACGTGGATCCCGGCATGTGCAAGCCGTGCGAGGCGTGCTTCTCGGACTTTAACTACGTCGATAACGAGCTGGGGAAGAGGTGAGAACCAGGAGCTCTAAGACTCTCTGATCTCCTGCATTCTTGTTCCGGCACGCACACTCCTCCTCTCCTCCTCTCCTCACCCGTCTTCCTTCTCCCTCGTATCTCGCTGACCACCAAGGCAAGTTCCGGGCCGCCTCTGCATACATTCCAATCTCCTCTCATTCCTCTTCCTCCAATTACCTCTTTTCTCACTCACGCAGGTATGTGCGTCTGCGCAAGGAATGGAGCACACACCTCAACGCCAAGATCTCCCCCGGGCAGCCGCTCGCGTTCAAGGGCTTCCACGGCACCTACCGCGCCCGCTTCCAGGTCAACGGGCAGACCGTCGAAAAAACTTTCCACGTGCCAAATGCACAAGGCGTGGCGCAGATTAGTATCCAGCTGTGAGCCACTGGTGGTGCTGCTGGTGCTGCTGCTGGTGCTGGCGTTGGAGAGATATACATTCTCTGTGGCTTTAGAAGGGTGTGGTGTTCCTACCATCTGGCTGCTCAGCCCTGGTGGTCAGGGATGGGCTTCTCAGGATGCCTAAAGGCATCATTAGTTGTAGCGGATAACCTAGGGAATGTAGCAACTAGCTACATGTAGAGTTGTACTGGCATATCTTATGCTATGATCTGAATCATTATTCATAAAACAAGCTGCTCGATACAGAAGGTACAGCAATAACGTGTGCATGGTCATGGTATTTGTAGGAGGATGCTTAGAGCGTAGGGAGCATGCATTACCATCTTCGAAATGACACCCAGGGCAACTCTTCCATTTACCAGCAACTATTCACTTCCTGGCATTGCCATGGTCCGGCCCATCAGGTTGTCAGTGTATAGGTGCATGGGTGCATGGTTGCCGGTGCATGGTTTCATGGCTATCAGTGCATGGTCGTATGGCTGTCAGTGCATGGTTGCATGGCTCTCAGTGTAAAAACTATGGGAAGAGTCTACTTGATGCAGGGGTTAGGATGAACATGGAAAACAAAAGATCCAGCCAGCAAATGCAGGGGAAAGTGGTGGTGAGTACTCACGGGTGGCTTGGGCAACAAAGGGACACAGCCAGAAAACAAGTCGCCGATGCCGGGGATCGAACCCGGATCTTCCGCGTGACAGACGGAGATACTGACCATTATACTACATCGACATGTCTTTCTAGTTCAAACATGTATCATTAATGTTTTAACAACGTCGCGACTACACCCCACTTCGAGCTGTGGTTGTTCAACGGTGATGTCGCCGCCAAAGCGCAAAACGAGCATCAGCAGCAGCACGGGCGGCAGCAACAGCAGCGCTGCCGCGCGGCAGTCCCGCCCGAGCAACCCGCCGTCGCGCCCCCTTTCCCAGCCAGACCTTTCTCAGCACCCGTCTCTTCACCAACACTCACTGCCACGTCAGCACCCTCCTCCGCACCACACGGGCCAGCCACCGTACCCTAATCCCCCTTACCCGCAAGGCCCGCCTTATCCGCAAGGCCCGCCGTACCCCCAAGGCCCGCCGTACCCCCAAGGCCCGCCGTATCCGCAAGGCCCGCTATACTCCCACGGACCGCCTCCTTTCCCGCCCTATGCCAACGGCCCTCCCCCCGCCGGAGCCGGGTTTTACGGGCCTAGTTACCCACCTTCCGCTGGCCCGGGCCCTCCGCCGTACGCCCGCGCGGCGCGCGGTGGGGAAGATGGGTACGGATCGGACGGGTCGTTTCACGGTTACACGTCGGACGAGCCGCCGTATCGCCGCGGCGCGGGGTACGGCCGAGGCGCGAATGGCGGTCCCATGGTGGCGCCGCCGAAGTTAGTATCGTCCAAGGGTCGCGCGACTCGGCAATGGTGTTCTACGTCGCGCCTGCTGTTACTAATCTTCATCCCCGCTGTTGTGTTCTTGCTTATAACGAGCGGGCGCAGTCCGGGGAACTGGCGAACGGTCGAAGCGGAGGTGTGGGGAGGCGCGGAGGAGGAGCGCGCGAGGGGCTCTTGGGGCGCAGGCGCGGGCGTAGGCGCGGGCGCGCGGGGGGATTTGCGGGGAGTGAGGTGGAGCAGCGAGGTTGAGTCGGCGGTGATTGCGGGGGCCGTGGCGAAGGGCTTCAAGATGGACCTTAGTACAGCGCGGACTAGACTAAGGACAGGTAAATCGGGAGGGGGGGAACGGGAAGGGGAGGGGAAGGGGAAGAGGAAGGGGAAAGGGGAAGAGGGAAAACGGGCCGTAGCGAAGGGACTTAAGATGGATTTTGGCACAGGTCGGACTAGATTGCGCACAGGTAAAGGTGGGGGAATGGGGGAGGGGTAGCAGAAGCGGTGGTGGGGGAGGAGAGGAGGGTAAGGGGAAAGGAAAACATGTAGTGACTTTTGAATGGATCTAGGCACTGTGCGGACTAATGTGTTGAGACGTCTCAAGACATTTCTAATTTCACGTTTGAATTACTTTTGAGGCACCTCAAAGATCGCCTTAAAAGTTGAGACGTCTCAACACATTTTTAATTTCACGTTTGAATGTATCTAGGCAATGTGTGGACTAATCAATCTGACATTTCTTATTTCCCCTTCTCTGTCACCTTGAATCCCCTCCTTCAACAGATGCTGACGTGGAGGGGGCCAACATCGACCACAACAACTCCATCACCAACCCCTGCTTGACACGTCACTCGCTGCTGCAGCGGGCCTATCAGGAGGCGCCACCTGGCGCGCTCGCGGCGCTCGGGCAGCCGCGATTCGTCCAGCGCAGCGGGTACCGGCTGTCGGCCAATGAATTTGCAGCGATCGGGATGAGTCTGCGAGTGATGAGGGAGATTGCAGATGATGGGGTGAGTGAGAGGGAAGGGAATGAGGAGTGAGTGATTATTGCAACAGACAGCCACAGCCACTCATCATTCTCATCGCTGCGAACTCATTGGCTTCCACCATGAATGAACAGGGAATTGGCTGCCGGCCAATGAGCTTGCAGCGATGAGAATGCGCTGTTGCTGTAGTTGAGAGGTTGATGGGGTAACCACCTAGCAACTGTCAGTCAAAGCGTTTGCAGTGATTGGAATGAGCCTGCAAATGATGAGGGAGATTGCAGATGAGGGGTTGCGTGGTGTGTCAGGGGAAAAATGAGGGTGGAGGAAGTGGGTTGAGCGAGAGTGGACAGTGGGTGAGTGAGAGCGGACTGACTGACTCCATATCGTTCCTGCCGTCTCTTCTCGCCCCTTCCTTTCCCCTCTTTCCCCCACGTTTCCCTGCATTCCCATTGGTCCACGTCAGCTGGGCCACTGCTACTGGGTTGGGCGGGACGGGCGGCATTTGACGGGCAGGCTGAGGGGAATTTACCCTGGAGAGCACCATTTATTGATGTATGAGACGGCAGTGTACCACTGCAAACTTGCGGTGGAAAGCACAGGGAATGGCGGCGGAACTGTCATGATTCAACTTGGTGTGTGAGAGTTATCGATGATCTCCATGGAGTGTGATGTATGCTGGTTTTTTTTTTTTTTTTTTTTTTTTGTATGTAGCCTATACTGGAAAATGAAATGCCAAAACTTGTGCGCTGCACTGTTATGCGTTTTTCATATGCAACTCCACGTCCTACTCCATTCCATTTTCAATTCAAACGCTATGTCTTGTTCCATTCTTCCAAATGCTACGTATTATTCCCTGTCTTGCATTGCTACCCTGCAATAATACAACTACCTCAACCTGTCTCTTTCCCTTCCTCCCCCAGCCCTCCCCCCTTCTTCCTTCACCAGCATCTGCTGCTCTCCTTGTGAGACGCTTCAACATCTTCCCCTCTCTCTTTTCCTCGTGACCTCCTGCCTTCATCCCCCTCCACCCTCCCCTGCAGACCGCTCAGATGTAGCTATCTACAGCGAGCCACCAGCACCAGCATCAGCGCTCTCGTCCCTCCTCCCCACACGCTCCCACTCGCAATCACATGTCACTGCTCACACTTCTAAACACACCGGGATGCCAGCTCGCACACCCGCCCAGACACACTCGTCTCTTGCACACTCCAGTCCAAGCAACGCCACCCAAGCGCAGAACAGACAAGGCTACAGCTTGCAGCATTGGGGCGGCAAGGGGGGCCAGCAGTTTAAGTACGAGCTGGCGTTCTGCTCCTTCCCCATGTACCGCGATCTCAACCCCTCCACGCTGCAAGTGTGGCTGCAGGTGCGTTCTGCTCTCTCTTCTAGCTGCTCTCCCTCCCTCCTCCCTCCCTTCTGCTCCTTTCCGATGTACCGCGATCTCAACCCCTCCATGCTGCACGTGTGGCTGCAGATGCGTTCTGCTCTCTCTTCTAGCTGCTCTCCCTCCCTCCTCCCTCCCTTCTGCTCCTTTCCGATGTACCGCGATCTCAACCCCTCCACGCTGCACGTGTGGCTGCAGGTGCGTTCTGCTCTCTCTTCTAGCTGCTCTCCCTCCTCCCCTCTCTTCCTCCCTTGTGCTCCTTCCCCATGTACGTGATCTCAACCCTCCACTCTGCAAGTGTGGCCGCACCGCAGGTGCGTGGGGGGTGGGCATGGGCAGGAGGGGAGAGCAGGGGAGTTTAAAAGGGGGAAAGACGAGAAAAAAGGCGCACAGTGGCAAAAGAGGGGCCAGCGGTTTGAGTACGAGCTGCCCTTGTGCTCCTTCCCCATGTGCCGTGATCTTAACTCCTCCACGCTACATGTGTGGCTGCAGGTGTGCTCTATCTCCCTTGTGCTCTATCTCCCTTGTGCTCTATCTCCCTTGTGCTCTATCTCCCTTGTGCTCTATCTCCCTTGTGCTCTATCTCCCTTGTGCTCTATCTCCCTTGTGCTCTATCTCCCTTGTGCTCTATCTCCCTTGTGCTCTATCTCCCTTGTGCTCTATCTCCCTTGTGCTCTATCTCCCTTGTGCTCTATCTCCCTTGTGCTCTATCTCCCTTGTGCTCTATCTCCCTTGTGCTCTATCTCCCTTGTGCTCCTTCCCCTTGTACCATGATCTTAACCCTGCCACACTAGATGTGTGCCTGCAAGTGCGTGGGCAGGGGGTGGGGGCAGGGGGCAGGAGGAGGGGGCGGGGGGCAGGGGGCAGGGGGTGGGGGCAGGGGGCAGGAGGAGGGGCGGGGGGCAGGGGGCAGGGGGAGGGGGCGGGGGGCAGGGGGCAGGGAGAGGGTGCGGGGGGCAGGGGGCAGGGGGAGGGGGCGGGGGGCAGGGGGAGGGGGCGGGGGGCAGGGGGAGGGGGCGCGGGGCAGGGGGAGGGGGCGGGGGTTTGAGTACGTGGTGGGCTTCTGCTCCTTCCCCATGTACCATGATCTTAACCCCTCCCCTATCCCAAACCCCCCAGGTGGCCTGTCACTGTCTCAAGGCCGACTATTCGTGGTCAGCGCTGGGGTGGGGGGGCTGTTGCATCCGAGGGGAGATCGGGATTAAACAAGGACCCCCCATTTGCTGGGGGGATCGGGATCAAACAAGGACCCCCCATTTGCTGGGGGGATCGGGATCAAACAAGGACCCCCCATTTGCTGGGGGGATCGGGATCAAACAAGGACCCCCCATTTGCTGGGGGGATCGGGATGGGGGGTCCCTGTTTGACCCCGAATCGAATCACCCCACGATGAGACCGTCTGACTCACAAACCACCCAACTCTTGCGCTCAACCGTTCCCAACCCAACCCAACCCCCCCAGGTGGCCTATCACTATCTAAAATTCATCCCCCCACCCCTTCCTTCTTGACAGGTCTACTATCAGGTTTTGAGACGTCTCAATCAAAACACTATCAGGTGGACTGCTTTGTGCTCAGTGACGAAATGAGGTGACTTTTGAGTCGACTCAAAAGTCACCTCGTCTCAAAAGTCACCTCGACTCAATAGTCATCTCAAAACACCTCGTCTCAAAAGTCACCTCGACTCAATAGTCATCTCAAAACACTATCAGGTGGACTAATTTGTGCTCAGAGACGAAATGAGCATACGGCCATTCACCCACTCACCCTGCTTGTTGCTTCCTCACCCTCCCCCCTCTCACACCCCCCAGGTGGCCTATCACTACCTCAGAGTGGACTACTTTGTGCTCAGTGACGGGGGCTCGGTGGATGACACCATTATGAAGGTGAGCGTTTTTTGAGGTGAGCGCTTTCTTCAATGGACTAAAAATTCCGCTCTGTTGAGGACACTGTTATGAAGGTGAGCGGTAAAAGACTGTTATGGATCATAAGAGACGTGAGGTGGTGCTCTTGAAATCCCTCCATTGAGTTTCACAGTCGTCTGAAAGACTAAGTTTGGGCTGAGCAGGCCCCTGAGCTTTTTGTTTAAATCAAGGCCGTTACTTTTTGTTCAACGTATGACCTTGAGGATTTTTTATCTGGTTCAACTAGTGTTATCCCTCCTTCCTTCCTTCAGCCGTAACACCCACTCTCTATTCCCTTCTCTATTTTCTCCTTCCATCCCTTTTGAGTCGACTCAAAAGTCAAGTCACTGAGTCGACTCAAAAGTCTCCTTCCATCCCCAGGCCCTATCTCCCTTCATAGATGCCAACAATTTGGAAACCATCGACATTCGTGGCCCATTCGTGTTTGAGAACAAGCAGAACGTGCTACTCTAAATGTTGCAGGGGGTTCTTGAGAATTCTCAAAAACTCCCTGCAGAACATGCTACCCTAAATGTCTGCATCTTTTCACTTCAAACCTTCTGTGCCCATTATAACCCCTCTCCTTGCTCTCCCTCCCCCCCCATCCAATTCCATCCCCCCGACGTCTAACTTGCCCCAGGTCCTATCCCCTTTTGTGGATGCCAACATAATGGAAATAGTCGACATTCGGGGTGCATACGCATTCGAAAACAAACAGAACGTGCTAACCCTAAATGACTGCATGTACCGTCTCCGCTCCGCCGCCCGCTGGGTACTGTTCATGGACTTTGACGAGCTACTGTACATCGCCCCGCCGGCCGCCCCGCTGCCCGAGCCAGAAGCAGACGAAGAGGGCGAGTACACGCCGTCCGGGCGCAAGCGGAGAAAAAAACGAAAAAGGCACACCAAGCCGAAACCGGTGGACGTAGCTGGCGGGTCCCTGCACAACCTCCTTATGCAGCATAACGGATCGGCTTTTATCACGTTCGGGAGTGTGTGGTGGTCTGTGGAGTACTGTAGACCTTCCACTCCCGCGCTCACGCTCCCGATTCAGCGCATGCGGTTTCACTGGCCGCATGTGTACTGCGTGGGAGAGAAGGACATGGGGTACTCGCCAGACCACTGCCTCAACTTCTACGGCCATCGCAAGTTCCTGGTTGACCCACGACAAGTGTGGGCCGTGCAGGTGGGTGTGACTGGTGCGAGTGAGTGAGGGTCCTTCAGCTCAGGTGTATGGGATACTGGGAGCATGAATAGGGGGAAAAGGACATGGGGTACTCACCGAATCACTGCCTCAACTTCCACGGTCATCGCAAGTTGTTGGTGGACCCACGCATGCTTTTCCCCCCATCCCTTCCCTCCATGCCTTCCCCCCATGCCCTCCCCCCATGCCTTCCCCCCATGCCTTCCCCCATGCCTTCCCCCCATGCCTCGCCCCATGCTTTCCCCCCATGCCTTCCCCCCATGCCTTCCCCCCATGCCCCCGGGGGCCTTTCTCTCATTGCATCTCCCCACGCCCCCATGTGCCCTCCCTGTGCATCGCCCCATAGAGCCACTGGAGGGTGGCAAGCATTCATAAATCTTAGCAAGATTCTCTCACCTTCACTTCCCGTGCCTTTGAATCACCTCACTATCTCCCCACCTCCCCCATGTGCCTCTCCAGGTGCATCGCCCCATAGAGCCGCTGGAGGGCGGCGTGCATTTGACCCCTGATGTGGCCTACCTCAACCACTTTCAGGTGCGTACTCTGCTCCCCTGCTACCCCTGCCACACCTTTCTTGAGTTGACTCAACCACCCACAGCTCTGCTTCCCTCTGCTGCTACACTTGTCTCCTAAATTTATTGTCCTCTTTTTGTTCTTGCCCCTCCCAAATCCCATGTCTCCCATGTCTTTGTCATGCAGGGACTCCTGCGTGCAAACTTCACATTGTGTTCTCAAGAGGTGCTTCCAGGAAAGGAGCCTGACTGGTGGACAGAAGACGGCTATTTGGCTGAATTAGTGGGCATCATGATGAAGAAAGGGCCCCCTAAGAAACGCCAGAGTTTGTCCTTTTGATTTCGTGCTGAATTTGTATTAACTCTTGTCTAAAAGTAGCTGGGTGTTACGGTTGCAATGAATCGAAGTAGCGAGAATTGCACTAAGGTGTCAAACGGGTACAACATGTGAGCGAAGGCATGAGCGAACATTTATATGCGAAACATGCAAACAGTAACGCGGTGCGTGCGAGCTAGCTAGTGCTATGCTGGAAGCGAGGTTCGGGCTAGTCCCGAAGCGTAGGCCGATACGGCCAGGCCAGCAGGGCGAGGTTTGGTGCAACAGTGCGCGCTAAGTCGGCGAAGTCCCGTTAGCAGTAACGGGCGAACAACGGTTGCTGTTGTACGCGATGTTGCAGGGCGCGCTAAGGAATACCGAGAAAATTCCGTCATACCCCGGATAGAAGCGCCCCTGGGGTTGTAATAAAACACTGTTTTTTAGGGGGTGCGCTTATAATTGAGGAAATTTATAAGCGCCGGCGTTTATATAACGGCAAAATGAAATGAAGTTTTTTTTTAACACCAAATTGTAGATGTCGTTCTTCCAAGTGTAATCGAGTCGAAAATATACTGGGTCGCGAATCTGACTCTTGAGCAACTTGGCAGGGATTGATTCCCTGCCAACACATGCTGACTAAGCGACAGCGTGTGCTGACTAGACGCGCAGCAAGTGTGATGTGAGTGGGAAAGTGGAACTGTATTTCGCTTCCCTGGTAAGGGGAATTTCGTTTCTGTACTTCGACTGATTTTCATATAATATTCGACATGCGCTTATAATAAATCACAATTTTTTAGGGGGTGCGCTTATAATTGAGGACCGGATATAAGCGCCCTCATCCCTTTATAAGCGCCGGCGCTTATCTGAGGCCTGCGCTTCTATCCGGGGGCTTACGGTTCCTTACACTACCCCCCCCCCCCCCCCTCAAGAAGGCCCCTGTGCTACGTGAGTGCGGATATATCGCGGGAACCCCGACTCCTCAGGTATACTTGCAGGGCAGGGTGGTTTTCGATGTTGGCCAGGGGCACCCAGCTATCTTCAGTTGGCGTGCGGTCCTTCCAGCGAACGAGGAATTCAATCCTCCTGATTCATGTGGGGTGTCGAATCCGATGGCTCAGGATTTTTTCGGGCTCGATGATCGGCTCCGATGCAGGGCGAGTCATGGATGGCGGGTGGTGACGAGGCAATTGGCTTGTGGTTGGGATGTATGGGCGAAGCAGAATGACGTGGAACGAAGGGGTGACGTACCAGTCCGTCGGCAACAGTAGGTGAGCTGTCACTGGGGTAATCATGTGGCTGATTTGGAATGGTCCACAGTAGCGGGGTCGTGATTTCGGTACAACGGACAGTCTTAAAACCGATATATGGAATAGTGAACCCCGTCCCAGCTTGAAAGGGTCTTCCAGTGTGGGTTTGCAAAGCACTGTTTCAAACATTTTGTGTGTGCGGATCGAAGCCATTTGATTGGCTCCCGCCAAAAACGAAATTTTTGGGCCTTACATAAGGAGTCGCCTTCAACATGATGCACCCGCACGACGACTGCACGGCGATCATTGCGATCGTTGGGTCCAACTCCAACTTCAAGCTGGACCTGGGTTCCACTACTTCTTTTCGCTCTAGTCTCTAGTTTAGCCAAGCTTAGAATAGCTGAAAACGTAGGCATTTTTGCCTAGGCAACTACCATTTTTATAAATTTAATCCTCATCCTTCTATTCGTGGCCTAGTGGCGAGGAAACTTACGCGCCGCGTAGCGACACTTGCCTCGAGATTATTCGGCTGAACGCGCTCACCGCCGAAACGCCCTTTCGTCGCCCTCTCTCTCGCCCCTCTCTTCCCGTCGCACTCTCTCTATCCGCGCTCTTCCCGTCGCCTCCCTTCCCATCGCGCTCTCTCTCCCCCCTCCCTTCCCATCGCGCTCTCTCTCTCCGCTCCCTTCCCGTTGCCCTCTCTCCCGTCGCCCTCTCTCTCCCCCCTCCCCTCACATCGCGCTCTCTCTCTCTCTCTCTCCGCCCGTCGCCCTCTCCCCCGTCGCCCTCTCTCCCATCGCCCTCGCTCTCTCCTTCGCTCTGTCCCGTCGCCCTCTCTCCCTCGCCCTCTCTCCCGTCGCCCTCGCTCTCTCTTTTGCTCTGTCCCGTCGCCCTCTCCCCCGACGCCCTCTCTCCCGTCGCCCTCTATCTCTCACGTCGCCCTCGCTCTGTCCCGTCGCCCACGCTCTCTCCCGTCGCCTCACGAAATTTTCTGCCGTCTCGTAGTAATATCGACCTTGCTATCCCCCTTTCTTGAAGCTCAAAGTATTAAGTGACGATACTTTTAGCTGCTGGCAGGGGCGGGGTTAATCACCTGATGCTAAATACTTATGCACCCAACTAGTTCTTCTATTTTTTCTTATTATAATAATAGGGACCCTAATTTCGTACAGATTTACCTCCCCTCCCGTCGATCCCTTCAGGTCCTTGTTCCCGTTCCCTTGCTCTCTCCCCTCCTTTTCCACCGCCCTTGGTCTCTCCCCTCCATTTCCGTCGCCCGTGCTCTCTCCCCTCTGTTCCCGTCGCCCTCGCGTTCTCCCCCTCCCTTTCCATTGCCCTCGCTCTCTTCCCTCCCTATCCGTCTCCCTTGCTCTCTCCCCTCCCTTTCCGTCGCCCTCGCTCCACCTCATCTGTCCCTCCCCCATGCCCCTCCCATCTCCCTACCATTCCGCAGATTTTGCTCACGCATCTCTCTTCCCGCATCCTCGTTTCTGCTGCACTAAGTGTCTCTTCTCTCGTGCCCTGAGATTCTCTGTTTTTTTCGCTTCTTGTTTTTCCCATGTTGTTATCGCCTCCCTTGCAGGCCCATGTCTAAGGCATTTGCTTTGCGTGCGTTGGGCTTGCTTTGCATGAGTTGGACGTGCTTCACAATCCGAATTTGGCACTTGATATGAATGAGACTTGTGCATCGGAATGTTTTGAGCGACGCATTTGCACATGCTTGCGACAATTTTGTTTGAGTTGAAGTTTGGAAACTCGATCAGCATCATATGCGCTTGGAAAAAAAATAAAGAAAAGCACTTCAACTTTCAAGTGGACCCAACTAGATGTCAGAATATTATGCTCTAGCCTGTAGTGGGGTGCTCTATAGCGAGTACAACCCTTCTAGGGTTTGCTATTTGTATCCTCATTCTTGCTAGTGCAACCCTCTTCTTTCTTCTAAACTTTCACATGCTATCAGAGCAGGTCGATCCCCTTGGATCGATCCTGTGGGTGGGCTCACCACCTCGTTGCTTCCGCTGCAACTCCTACTGCTACTCTCAGTGCCGCACGCCCAGTGGCGTGCGGCAGTTTTTCTTCCCGCCGTGCGCCCCGAGGCGCGCGGCGGCTTTTTGCCCGCCGTGCGCCCCGTGGCACGCGGCGGTTTTCTGCTCCGTCACTCGGCGCGTCGCCCCCTGGAGGCGCTGCGATGGGCGATGGGGGGGGGGGCCGCGCGTCGCCCCCCGTCGCCGCTCCTATCGGCCCCGAACCGCCGCCAGCGGCCCCGTCGTCCCACCGCCGTACCTGCGGCCCGTCGCCCTACCTGCGGCCCCGGCCCCGGCCCCGTCGCCCTACCTGCGCCTCGGCGCCGGCCCCGTCGCCCTACCTACGGCACCCCCTCCCCCCCCCCCCCCCCCTTTTTCCCGTCGCCCGTCGCGGCTTCTTCGGGGGCCGCGGCGACCTGGGGGGTGGCGGGTGTGTGGTCTCCCCTGCTCCTCCTCCTCCTCCGTCGCCTTGTGCTGCAGCTGCCGCTGAGGGGGGGTGGATTTGTTGGAGCCGGTGGAGTGGTACTAAGGGGGGGTGAAGGGGGAGTGGAGCTAGGGGTGTAGCAGTGGGTGTATGAGAGGGGCGTTGGGCAACTGGGGGAGGTTGAGTGGAGGCAGCAGTCTTGTCGTCAGCAGCAGCAGCACTCCGGAGGCTACAATCTCCGGTAGTCGCCAGTCGCCCGTGGGTCCATTGCTCGTCTGCCGCTACTTTAGCCGCGGGGCCAGTTACTCCAGTAGTCCGGAGCGCTGTTTCGGTAGCCACTGAGTCAGCAGCTCGTCTGTGTGTCTGCAGCGTTAGCACTCGCCTCCCATCTTCTCTCCCCCATAGTCCCTCCTCCTCCACACATGCCCTCTGCGATAGCCTCTAGCTTTGCTCATAATTGTGAACTTAATTTGTATCCTCATTCTTGCTAGTGCAACCCTCTTCTTTCTTCTAAACTTTCACACTAGAAGGGGGGGGTCACTATTTTAGCTGCTGGCTTTAAGTTTTGCGTGTCGAGCAGTACGTAATCTCCTGACTGGTAAGTGACTGGGCGGCGGTGGCGGTCAGCGTTGCGCTTAGCGATGACGTTGGCTCTTTTAATTGCTTCAGCGGCTCTGGTGCGGGCAGCTTGCAGAATTTCGGCGAATTGCTGTGCACGTGGCGTTGGGTTGTCCGGACTCGGCGTCATGGGCACTGTAGGGTTTTGCCCGTAGTTCAGGTAGAAGGGGGACTGCTACGTCGTCGCTGACATGGCGTTGTTATACGCGAACTCGATCAGCGGCAGCTGCTGCTCCCAAGTGGTTTGGTCGTCGCACGTGGCACGAATCAACTGCTCCATCGTCTGATTCGTCCGCTTCGTTTGACCGTTGGTCTCGGGGTGGTACGACGAGCTGAACTGTAGCCTTGTCCCGAACTGCTCCCAGAGGTTCTTCCAGAAGTTGCGGGTGGACTTCGTGTCGCGGTCGCTGATTATCGCGGCTGGTATCCTGTGCAGTCTAACGACGGCTGCGATGAACAGGCGAGCGGTTTCTTTGATCGATTTCTTGCACGCAGCGAAGTGTGCCATCTTCGTCAACCTGTCAACGACGACCATAACTGCGTCGTTACCCCCAAGGTTCGAAGGTACCCTATGACGAAATCCATGGTAACCTGCTGCCAGGCGCGCTCAGGCGGTGGAATCGGCTGCAACGGACCCGCCTTTCTTTTTCGCGAGCTCTTCATCACCTGACACGTCGGAAACGAGCCCACGTGGTGCTGTAAGTCAGTCAACAGCTCCGACCAGTAGTAATACCGCTGCAGTTGCTGTCGCGTTTTTTCTACCCCGAAATGTCCCGAGGTAATCCCGTCGTGTGCCTCCTGCAGTAACAGTTCCCTCAGTAGTGAGTACGCGGGTACCCAGATGCGGTTGTCAGAATGTTATTATTATCTAGCCTGCAGTGGGGTACTCTACAGCGAGTACAACCCAATTAGGGTTTCCTATATGTATGCCAACTGCTGCTAGTGCAAATCCTCCTTTGCTCATTCTTGTTTCTGACTTCTCATTCAGATATGCTATCAGAGCAGGTCGACCCCCTTGGGTCGATCCTGTGGGTGGGCCCACCACCTAATGCTTCCGCTGCTTTACTTCCTGTCGTGCGCCTCGGGCACGAGACGACTTCTTCGTGCCGTGCGAATTTTTTCTACGGTTTTCTACCCGCCGTGCGCCCCGAGGCGCGCGGCTGTTTTCTGCCCGCCGTGCGCCCCAAGGCGCGCGGCGGTTCTCTGGCCGCCGTGCGCCCCGAGGCGCGCGGCGGTTTTCTCCCCCTCGTCGCCCGCCGAAGCGCCCCTGGGGACCCGCGCGTCGCCCCCGTCGCCCGCGCGCGGCCCGTATTGCACGAGCGCGGCCTGTATGGGCTGCGCCAGGCCCATGCGCGACTTGTTTTGCACGCGCGCGACCCGTACGGGCTGCGCCAGGCCCGCGCGCGGCCTGTACAGCCTGTGCCAGGCCCCCGCGCGGTTTGTACAGGCTGCGCCTGGCCCGCGGGTGCCCTGTCTCCTCTTCCCCTGAGCCGCACGCCGTCCCTCGCGCTTCTAACGGCGCCCCACCCCTGCTGTTGCCCGTGCTTCTGTATTAGGGTTTGGGGGTGGAGGGTATGGGGGTGCCGTGTGTATGAGTCGTCCCCTGCTCCTCCTCCTCCTCCTTCTCCCGCTGCTGCAGCTGCCGCTGAGGGGGGTGGATGTGTTGGAGCCGTCGGAGTGGTACAAGGGGGGTGATGTGGGAGTGGAGCTAGGGGTGAAGCAGGGGGTGTGTGTCAAAGGGGGTGGGACTGTTTGGGGAGGCTGAGCGGAGGCTGCCGTCTTGTCGTCCGCAGCACCTGTAGTCCGGGGCGCTATCCTGGTAGCCCAAATAGCTTGCTGCGCCTGTCGCCCGTGGGTCTGTTGCTCCTGTAGCTCCTCGTAGCCCGTGAGCCAGTTACTCCAGTAGTCCGGGGCGCTGTCCCGGTAGCCACTGTGTGCGCGCTCGTGTTGCCCGTGTTGGAATAACTGAACAAGAATGAATGAACTAACAGTGAAATGAGTACAAGTACCTAACCCTAGAACTATGTACCCCCTATAGGCTAACCCACTGTAGCCTAAACTAACACAACATATATAATGTTTGACACACCCCCATAGGCGAAGTGGGGGAGAACTAGGGGTCACAAGACCAGTCAAGGCAAAGCAAGGCAAAACAAGCTCAGGGTGGATCTCAAGGATACCACACAAATTCCGAGCACAAACAAGTGGTCACAAGACCAGTTCACATGCAGGTTTATAATAGAGCAAAGGTACAATGATCACAACCTAGCAAGAGTAAACATGTAGGTATATATATATACATAGAAATCACAGTACAAACAGACTCAAGAGGTAAGCAAGTGAGGTCCAGTAGGCACAAGGCCTAGAAGAGTGCAAAAGCGCTGATGGTCACAAGGCTGAAGCGCCTTGGTGAACACATCAGCAGTGTTGGCCTCAGAGGCCACGTAACGTAGGCGAAGCTGACCACGCTTCTGCAGCTCTCGAGCAAGGAAGTAATGCAGAGCAATATGCTTCGTTCTGTGCTCCAGTCTGTGCTCCTCACACAAGGCAATGGCTGCCTTGTTGTCGCCGTACAGCACTGGAGGAGAACGAGGCTGCTCTCCAAGGTCGGTCAGCAATTAGGTGAGCCAGCGTAGCTCCTGGGCCGCCATGGCTGTGGCGTAGATCTCCGCCTCACAACTGGAGTTGAGAACAGAAGAAGAGCAAGTAGAACGCCAAGAAACAGAACCAGAGCCAAGACTGAAGGAGTAACCCTGAGACGACCGCTGAGTAGCCTGGTCGTCTGCCCAAGAAGCGTCTGAGTGCCCAGTGAGAACAACTGGGACTCGCCCTCCAAGCACTAGCCCCATGCCCGACGTACTGCACAAGTAGCGCAACACCCTCTTAGCTGCATCCATGTGCTCCTTCCGGTGACGGCCGAGAGCGACATAGCGTGCAAGAATGCTGAGAGGGTATGCCAGGTCTGGTCGAGTGCAGGTCATCAGGTACATGAGGCAACCCACAAGCTCTGGATACGGGCCACTCGGCTCTACGGACTCATCCGAAGGCAGAGCTGAGAGCGAGTGACCGGTAGGCAGAGGAGTGGGCTGAGGCGAGGAGTACGTGAAGCGGAAGCGCTGAAGGACCTGCTGCACCATGTGTGACTGGGTCAAGGTGATGGTGTGGCGTGCTCTGTCCCGGGTGATCTGCAAGCCAAGATAGCTTGTCAGTTCACCCAGGTCTGTGCACGTGTGTCTCTTCTGCAGCTCCGACTTCACGTGGGCGAGTGCCACAATGTCAGCAGTAGCAAAGACCAAGTCGTCGACGTACACAAGGACGTAGAACGGCGGCAGTGAGGTGTCGGTGCGTAGAAACAGCGACGGGTCAGCAGTAGAAGGTGCGAACCCAAGAGCCGCAAGCGTAGTCCTCAGTGTGTCGTGCCACTCACGAGGCGCCTGGCGGAGACCGTAGAATGGCCGTCGGAGGCTCCACTGGGTACCAGGAGGGAACGACCCAGTGAAGCCAGGTGGACGGCGCAGCCAGATCTCCTCGTGCAGGCTGCCCTGCAGGAAAGCAGTGCTGAAGTCAAGCGAGTGGAGCTCATAGTCACGCTGAGCGGCGACGTGCAGCAGAACGCGAAGAGTGGTCATCTTCGGGGTCGGGGAGAAGGTCTGGAAGAAGTCAACTCCCTCTCGCTGACTGAAGCCTCGTGCAACGTAACGCACCTTGAAGACAGGCGGAGAGCCCGGCGGCCGCTTCACCCTAAAAATCCACATGCCACTAACGATGTTCGCCCCAGGCGGGGGAACCTCGTCGACGTAGGTGCCTGTGGACTTCCAGGAAGCCATCTTTGTGTCCATGGCTGACTGCCACTGAGAGGAGTAGGGACCGGCCATCGCCTCTACGTAAGAGCGTGGGGTCGGGATGTCTGGTGCATCCGGGTCTCCCTCAGGGGCAACAAGCATGGACACGAGATGGGGCAAAGCGGCAGCAAAGCACTCAAACTCCTCCTGCCTGTCCTCAAGGACGTCAGCTCCAACGCCCGGGTCCTCAGCACCAGCGGCAGCTCCAACGCCCGGGTCCTCAGCACCACCAGCAGCTCCAACGCCCGGGTCCGCAGCACCAGCGGCAGCTCCAACGCCCGGGTCCTCAGCACCAGCAGCAGCTCCAACGCCCGGGTCCGCAGCACCAGCGGCAGCTCCAACGCCCGGGTCCTCAGCACCAGCAGTTGCTCCAACGGTAGCGGGGTCCGCAACACGAGGCACGCCACTCCGAAGAGTGCAGCGCCGCTCGTACCACTCACGGATCCGCTCGCGGGAGGGGAGCTCCCTAACGGGAGAAGAAGCACTAGCACCAGTCCCAGCAGTACGTCCGGCACGAGTGGAACCTCTCTGGAGGCTGCAGTACTCTAAGTACCACGTACGCAGCTGCTCCGAGGAGAGGGCTCCTCCAGGTGTAGGACTCCCAGGCCCAGTACCTCCAGACCCAGAACGCCCAGACTCCGGACTCTGCGGCTCAGCACCACGAGGCTCCACACCCCCAAGCTCAGCACCCCCAGGCTCCACACCCCCAGGCTCCACACCCCCAGGCTCCACACCCCCAGGCTCCACACCCACAAGCTCCACACCCACAGGCTCCACACCCCCAGGCTCCACACCCCCAGGCTCAGCACCCCCAGCAGGACGAGAGTCGACAGCTACCTCAACAGGCTCAACCGGGTCTACCTGAGACACACCTGAGGGAGCGGCACCCTGAGGGGGGAGGGAGTCTGCAACAGCAGCACCTGGCGCAAGGAAGAGAGGCGGGGGAGGGAGCGGGGCAGTGCGGTAGGGGAAGAGGCGGTAGTAGGGGACGGACTTGTCAAAAGTGACGTCCTGGGAGGGCAAGACTCGGCGCGAGGTGGCGTGGTAAAACTGCCAACCAGACGCGTTCGGGACAAAGCCGAGGAAGACGCAGGGAACAGCACGAGAGGAGAGCTTGTTCGCAGACGTATCGCGGACAAAAGCTCGAGACCCCAGACCCGGAAACGCGACGCATCGCCAACCTTCCCCGTCCACAGCAGCGTGGGCGAGGTCTCCGGCAAGGAGACACGGGGCCAGAGGTTGAGTTGATGCGCAGCTTACCGGACCGCAAACGGCCACAGAAAGTGGGGGGAAGCCGCATGGATCAAGGAGGTACGGGCGACCTCCATGACCAGGCCAATGCGGCGCTCCGCAACCCCATTCTGCTGTGGAGAAGCCGCAAGAGTGAACGACTGCTCAATGCCGTGCTCAGCACAGTAGGCTGCCAAGAGGTCAGAGGAGAACTCACCACCTCTGTCAGAGTGTAGGCGTAGGACAGGAAAGTCCGAGTGAAAACGCTTGCTGAGCTGGAGACGGGCTCTGCGGATCCAAGGGATCAAGACATCAGGGACCTCACCCTTGGTGCGCAAGGGGAAGACCGAGGTGTAGCGCGAGTAGTCGTCAACAACTATCAGGAAGTACCTCTCATGACCCTGACCATGGACGCGGGCTGGGCCCCACACGTCCATGTTGAGCGTCTGCAAGGGAGCAGACGTCGGGGGGAACGAGGAGGAGTGAGGAGCGGCGCGCTGCCGAGGGGAGGGCAGGAAGGACCCTGGGCAGGCCAGAGACAAGGTACCGGGAGTGCATGGCACGAAGCCGCTGCACAGACGGGTGGCCAAGGCAGTGGTGCCAGAGGACAGTCTCGTGTGCCAGAGAGCGACACGAGCAGGGGGCCGATAGCTGACCTGACGCGGACGAAGACGCAGCAACCTGAGGGGACTCAGTAGTCAGTGTGTACAGGTCCGACCCCGGCTGCCGAGTGAAGGTAGCCAAGTGACGGCCCGTACGAGCACACGTGCAGTGTGTCACACGCTCGTAGGCAGGGGTGAACTGGTGAACACCCCCGTCCTGGAGCGCACATCCTGCCACCAAGTTCGTAGAGAACGAGGGGGGGTGGAGACCTGACAGTGTGCCCGACGGGACCGCAGGACAGGGAAGGACACTGGAAGAGGTCGCAATGACCGGACCCCCAGAGGGGTCAGCAAGGGAGACAGCAACTGGCCGAGCAAGCGGCTTAAGGGCAGTGCGGTCACGAAAGATGTTGCGAGAAGCACCTGAGTCCATTGTGAAGGTGTGCAGTGCTGCAGTCGACTCAGTACCAAGGGGGGCAGACACACGAGCACCTAGAGCAGCAGCCTCACCAGCACCTAGGGTAGCCGACACTCGAGTACCTGGAGCGGCAGACGCACTGGCCCTAATGCCCGAGTCGGGCGGCACACTCAAGTACTCAGCACCCTCTCCACTAGTAGACATCACATACATGGCGGATAGAATAGCATCAAAGTCTAGAGCATAGATATCAATCCCCTTCTTCAGGAGATCAAGCCAGCAGGGCAGCTCAGTGGCCTGAGGGAACTGAACACGCCAAGCGTCGTCGAGACGAGAGAAGCAGCGCTGTGTGGCGTGCGGTCGTCCACACTGCTGACCAGTGCGGTCACCAGTGCGAATGACGTACGTGCAGCTAAGACCACCCCCACCCCCGTGCTACAAGTACCACTCACGGACCTCCTGGGGCGAAGGAGTGTGCTGCTGACCCTGGCCACCGCCAGCGCCTCCACGGCCACCACCACCGCTGCCACCTCCTCGACCACCCCAACCCCTGCCGCCGCCTCGTCCACCGCCACCCCAACCGCCGCCTCCACTCCTGCCACCTCCCCTGCCGCTGCCGCCACCACCCCTACCGCTACCACTCGCCCGTCCAGCCGAGCCACCACCCCCTTTGCCTCCACCGCCCCCACCGCCACCTCCCCCGCCGTCACCGCCACCACCCTTGCCCACTTTGCCCTTGCCGCTGCGGCGCCCGCTTGAGGCAGACGCAGCGCCGACCTTCTCAGCACCAAGAAGGTCGACAGCAGCAGCAGAGGCGTCAGAGGGAAGAAGGGGGAAAGGAGAACACCCCTCAAAGAACGGGGTACGGGGGTCGCCACGAGAGGCACCTACAGCGACTATGCTAGTCTCAACTGCAAGTAGCTCCTTCTCGAGGAGGGCAATGGTGAGCTCAGTGGGGCAACGAGCTAGGAAGTGGTCCCTGACAGCACGCAGTGTGTCAGGGAGGCGGGTGACTAGGTGGTAGAGAGTGAGCCAGAGTGGAGGGGGGTGCGTGGCAAGGAACTCAGCAGGCATGGCGGCACGGAAGCGGGCCTCACTAGTACGGAGGTGCGTGATGAGGTCAGCGACTGTGTGAAAGGAGGCCAGGTCGGGAAACAGGTAGGGGAGGGAGAGACGGCCTAGTGCGGCAGAGGCAGGTGAGGAGTAGCGAGCAACGACAGCTGTGTACAGTGCCTGTGCAGTCTTGTGCTGGCCAAAGCGCTCGCGTTCGTCTATCGGCAGGGAGTTGCGAATAGCGAAGCGAGCGTGGGCATCACGAGTCTGCCACTGTGAGCGAGCAGTGTTGTCAGTAGTAGCAGCAGGGGCAGTGACATGGCCTAGGGCGTGATCGTACAGTGAGATGTCATCCTTGGCTGTGAGCTGTAGGTAGAGGTGCAGGTCATCGAGCCAGGTGTCAAACTTCACAGGGCGGCCCTTAGCATCGAACACGAGAACCTGTGGGCTAGCCATAGGAACAGTAGAAATAGCAGCAGTAGCAGTAGGAGAAGCAGGTAGGACGAACCAGTTAGGGCAGGGCGGCGCGGCTCGGTTCAGGTCGGGTCGCGCGGTTCGGCTCAGGGCGCGCGGCTCGGCTCGGGGCGCGCGGCTCGGGTCGCGCGGCTTGGGTCACGCGGCTCGGTTCGGTCGCGGGCTGCGGCGGGAACGGGCCGCCCGGGGCCTCTAGGAGCGGTGGGCACGGGTCGGCGAGGTCGGCACGGGGCCGGTTGGGGCCCTAGAGGGGCGAGCGCGGGGCCGATCGGGGCCTAAGTAGGGCTAGCGCGGGGCCGACGGGGCCTGAACGGGGCTAGCACGGGGCCTGAAAGGGGCTAGCGCGCGGCCGACGGGGCCTGAAACGGGGCCGACGGGGCCTGAAACGGGGCCGACGGGGCCTGAACGGGGCTAGCACGGGGCCGATCGGGGCCTTAACGGGGCTAGCACGGGGCCGACGGGGCCTGAACGGGGCTAGCACGGGGCCGACGGGGCCTGAAAGGGGCTAGCGCGGGGCCGACGGGGCCTGAACGGGGCTAGCACGGGGCCAACGGGGCCGGAAAGGGGCTAGCGCGGGGCCGATGGGGCCTGAAACGGGGCCGACGGGGCCTGAACGGGTCTAGCGCGGGGCCAATCGGGGCCTGAATGGGGCTAGCGCGGGGCCGACGGGGCCTGAGAGGGGCTAGCGCGGGGCCGACGGGGCCTGAAACGGGGCCGACGGGGCCTGAACGGGGCTAGCGCAGAGCCTGAACAGGGCCTTAAAGGGGCCGACGGGGCCTGAATGGGGCCGCTAGGGAGAGCGGGCGTGAGGCCGACGGGGCCTGAACGAGGCTAGCGCGGGGCCGTCAAGAGGGGCCTCTAGGGGCGTGACACGCCGAGGCGCCCTAGGGCACAGGTAGGTAGGTAGGTAGGTAGTTACGTAGTGGTGGGCCCTTAGAAAATTTCAGTCCTCGGAAGGACCTGCTCTATACCATGTTGGAATAACTGAATAGGAATGAATGAACTAACAGTGAAATGAGTACAAGTACCTAACCCTAGAATTGTGTACCCCCTATAGGCTAACCCACTGTAGCCTAAACTAACACAACATATATAATGTTTGACAGCTTCAGTCGTCGTCTCCCATCTTCTCTCCCCTCACAATTCCTCCTCCTCCTCACTTGCCCTCTGTGATCGCCTCTAGCTTTACCTATAATTGTGAACTATTGCTATGCCTGCTCATTGTGCTGATTACACCCCATTTTGGCTATGGGGGTGTGTCAGAATGTTATTATTGTCTAGCGTGCAGTGGGGTACTCTATAGCGAGTACAACCCAATTAGGGTTTCTTATATGTATGCCAACTGCTGCTAGTGCAAATCCTCCTTTGCTCATTCTTGTTTCTGACTTCTCATTCTGATAGCGGTTGGTGCCTGTTTTTACGTGATAGACTCCTCTGGCCTCTGCTAGTAGCTTTGAATTTTTGGTCGTGAAAAATGGGTCGGTACTCTATCCGTGGGTGAATAGGCCTGTTAACAATGGGTTGGTTTGGGCGAGTAGGATAGCATGGAGTTGGGCGGTGGGGCGTGTCAGTGCGTCGGCGATGTTGGATGCGCCTTTTCTGTACGTGACCGTGTAGTGGAAGTTGGACTCCAGATAGTCCAACAAACGGATCTGTCGTGGGTTGAGGTTCCGTTGGGCGCGAAGGTACTGTAGGGATCGGTGGTTTGTCCGTACTGTCACGTCTGCTCCCGTAAGGTAATATCGCCACACCTTGAACGCGTGCACGATCGCCAGCATTTCGCGGTCGTGTATCGGATAGTTGCGTTCGGGCGGGTGAAGCTTGCGGGACTCATACGCGATTGGCTGAAGGCCGTTCCCGAAGGCCTGCAATAGTACGGCTCCCAAAGCGATGTCGCTAGCGTCGGTGACGAGCTCGAACGGACAGTGCGGATCTGCGATGTTAAGTACGGGCGGTGAGCACAAAATAATTTTGAGGGCCGAGAAGGCAGCTTGCTCTTTCTCCCCCCACGTGTACTCAACCCCCTTCATCAGCAGGTCGGTCAACGGGGCAGTCAGCTTCGCCATGTCGGGGACGAACCGGCGCACGTAGTTGACGAACCCCAAAAAACTCTGCAGCTCGAACAAGTTGGTCGGCGCGTGCCATGCTTGAATCGTCGCATTTTTTTTCGGGTCTATTTCCACTCCTGCAACTGAAAAAACTCACACTTAGATGCTTTTGTCAGTAGGCGGTTCTCACTCAGTATCTTAAAAACTGCTTCGATGTCCTGTAAGTGCAGTGCTCTGTCATGGCTGTAAATCAGTATGTCGTCAAGGTACACAATGACGCACTTATATAAAAATAGGCGGAAAGCTTCGTTCATGGTTATTTGAAAGGTGGCGGGGTCGTTGGTCAGTCTGAAGGGCATGACGGTCTATTCGAAGGATCCGTAACGTGTTCGGAAGGTTGTCTTAGGGCAGTCGGGTGGGTTGACGCGAATCTGGTGGCAACCTCCCCGAAGGTCAATTTTCGAAAAAAAACCCGGGCTGTGCGCGGTTGGTCGATCAGTTCGTCGGCTCGCGGGATGGGGTAACGGGATTTGATGGTAACCCTGTCTAGTGCCCTATAAAGTATGCACATGCGAAACTCCCAGTCTTTTTTCGGTGTGAACAGTATCGGTGCTGCGAAGGGCGACGAACTAGGGCGAATGAACCCCTTCTCGAGCAGGTAATCCAGTTGCTTCCTCAGTTCGTCCAGTTTGGGTTGGGTCAGCCAGAACTGTCGCTTTACTGTCGGCTGTGCCCCCGGTTCTAGTTCTATCCTATGGTCGTGCCGTCGCTGAGGTGGCAGTCCCGTCGGTAGGTCGTCCGGGAAGATGTCAGTCGACTGCTTCAACAGTGCTGCAAGATCATCCAGTACGTCGGCTAGCAGTTTCTGTAAATCCCCCCTTTTGTCTGCTGCCTTGGCTTCCCGAATGTCAACCGCATACACGTCATCTCCTGCCGCTACGGCGCGTTTCATCATGATCGCGTTGACACGCACCGACGAAGACTCAGGCGAGCCCCAGCGAGGTAAGGCGATGTTGTTACCGTTCACTCGCACAGCGCAGTCCCCCGTTGTCCAGTCGATTCGCGGGTTGTGTCGTCGCAACCAATCACGCCCGAGTAAAATATCGGTTCCGTTGAGGGTCGTTGCGAGCATTTCCTGGCTAAACGGGAAGTTACCCCCGCATCGAATCCGAACTCGGTCCACACTTTCACGCATCGCCAGTGGCGTGCCATCGACCAGTCTTGCGTCGATCTCAGGTAAGCATCTGTCCAGTCGCAGTTTTCGTGCTGTGGCAGTGTTGATTTGTGGCTGGCCCCTCCGTCTACGAAGATTTTAAGTAAGTCCGTCCCGATTTTCCCACTAAGTAGTATAGGGCTGTCTACCGTGGTACCCTCCTCATTCGGCCGGGTGTGGTCGATTGCGTGAACCAGCACAATCACCCGGTGAGGGTCGGCTGGGTCGGGCGAGCGGCGTGACCTGTCAGTAGAGGGCCCGTCTGCTACTGACTCCCAGCGTTTCCCTGCTGCTTCGTCTATTTCTGCTGCTCAGCTTCCCCCTTTCCCTTTGCGTTTTCCGAGCATTCGCTCTTGCGGTGTCCCGGCCGATTGCACGCTAAGCAGCGCCCTTTGAACGGTGCGGTAGCGCCATTTGCGGCGACGGTGCGTATCGTAGCGCCCTCGTTCGTCCCACGAGGCCGATCTCCCCAATTGCTGCTTCCGTAGGACCCCGGTCTCGGTCGGCGGAAGAAATCGAGTTTCTCCACCATGGCGAGAATCTCCCGAAAATCGGTGACGCCGCGAAGCTGGATTTCCTGAGCGATGTCCTGCTTCAAGCCGCCGATGTAGCGGTCGATGTGCTCGCTCGCATGCATGTATCCCACCTGCTCGCATAGCGCCAGAAACCCGCTCATGTAGTCTTGGACGGAACCGAGTTGGCGCCAAGTGCGGAGCCTCTGTCGCGCCGCGATCGAAGCCGCAATTGGCTCTAAATGAGCGCGCACACCTGCGCAGCACGCGTCCCATGTGCGATACTGGGGCACCTCCACGAAATACCACGGCGCGTAGGGTCCGGTTTGTCCTTTCCGTGTCGGTAGAGTCGCGTAGTCCACCGGCTTCGTGACGATGACACGCCACCAGTCCATGGCAGGACCTCGCAGCAACGACACGACGTAGCGAATCTTCGCCGTATCCTCCGAGACGTAAAGAAGACGTTCAACGTGAAAAGCCACGCCTGAACGGTAGGACCACCTCGCCGACTTGGGTCAAAGCATGGCGGACACTGCGGCTTCTGCTGCATCGGCGACGGTAGGGTTGATTCGTCGGCCAACACCGAAATAGTGACTCGAGGCTGAAACCTGGCCGCATTCGTCGCGTCGGGGTGTGTCGTTCCGTGGTGATCATCTCCGTCATGGCGCACATTGCCATCACTTGCAGCGCTCGCAGGTTGCCCCACACTTCCGTGTTGCGATGCTTGTGGTACGAGCTGAATCGGAGTGCCAGGTGCTTGGGATTGTGCTCGTGCGAGGTCATTTTGTAGGGACGTACGTTCTGCCATCAGCGCCGCGATTTCTTCAGACTTTTCGCAGATTTGCCACAGTAGTTTGTTCAAGTGCTCCTGCGTGAGAGTCGCGACATCGATATGCTCAGCCATTACGAGGGACGTCGGTTCGGCTTAGTCTAGGCGCAGTCGTGGCTGCACGCGTTTACGTGATAACGCGATGACAGCGGCTCTTAAGGGCTAAGGTGCGTGAGTCCCTTCGAGTGAAAAATCAAAAGTTGATTTCCAGGGGTGCGGAGGTGCACAGTCCGAAAAGAAAGAGGCTCTCGATACCAAGTGTTACGGGTGCAATTAATCGAAGTAACGAGAATTGCGCTAAGGTGTCAAACGGGTACAACATGTGAGCGAAGGCATGAGCGAACTTTTATACGCGAAACATGCAAATGGTAACGCGGTGTGTGCGAGCTAGCTAGTGCTATGCTGGAAGCGAGGTTCGGGCTAGTCCCGAAGCGTAGGCCGATACGGCCAGGCCAGCAGTGCGAGGTTTGGTGAAACAGTGCGAGCGAAGTCGGCGAAGCCCCGTTAGCAGTAACGGGCGAACAACGGCTGCTGCTGTACGCGATGTTGCAGGGCGCGCTAAGGAATACCGAGAATATTCCTTACACAGGGCAAGACATTTATATGATATATGGCGTCGTTTTCATGTTTCATTGAGAATATCATAAGATTTCAGTACTCTCTTTCGTAACGCACAGTCACTTTTATTTTCTGGAAGCAGATGTATACAGCAAATATTAATAATGAGCGTTGTTCTGTTATCCACCGACTTTACAGCGTCACGGGAATCCTCAAGGTTCCTCCTTCCTGAGACGGTTGTTTCTGCTTCCGATGTTGTTTTCTTATGCACGTTTCAGTTACTGTTTGCGCTTTTTCATTCTGTAGTGGGCCTACGTTGTCTCTTTCTGTCGATAGGTCGCTTGCGAAATTGTCTAACCTCGCAGCGCTGGTGTCACACACTTTCACTTCACACCTCTGTCATGCGAAGCAATCTGCTCTTGCTGCTGAAAATCGAGTAAGCACTCACCATACTTGCGGAAACTTTGACTCGTGTGGCCTCAGCTGCGAAGTGCCACCGAAATCTAGTGGTTACAGTGCAGCATCAAGCATCAAATTCGCCAAATCGTATTTTTCTCCCACGCGGAACCACACGCATCCAACCAAACGACAAAAGTTGAAGGGGAATGGGAAATCTTGCACCATTTCTTTTCTGTCGTGGATCTATTGATGGCTTCCTCTCTGCTGCATGCGTAGTCAACAAGCTTTGCGCAAGCATCCCCGCCCCGTCCCGTTGCGCAACAGAGGGAAGGGGGAACTTGCCACCAGGGTTTAAGGGGAACGAGTAATCCCTCAGTGAGTCGAGTGGGCCTAGCAATCAGGGGCTAGGGGCAACAACGCTGTGGGCATCGTGTTCTGTAGGAGGGGATGTGGTTCGAGTCATGCATCTCCCTCCATTCAAGTCACAGTTTCAGTTTGTCCAGTCAACTGCGGTGTTCTGTCTACTCATGACTATCTTCATGCAGCGTTGGTGACTCTCATGGCGACGGAGTAACGAAAAATGGAGGGGAAATCGGGAGGGAGGGGGAGATGAAACTGTACGCGCTGAGGAGCAGGGTGGGAGGAGAGGAGGAGCCCCACGAGCCAATCGAAACAGATTCGGTACAGCGATGTACAGTGTACTGGTTCGCCTTGTCGCGTCACGAACCCAAGATACAGTGACGTACAGACGAGGAGACGACTAGGGAGCGGAGGATGCGGGTGGGGTAGGGGGGGGAGGAGGACGGGACGGGACGAAAGTAACGATGGTAGCCACGTCGCATACAGCTGTCACCTGGCCTACAACGTATGTTACCAGCGTACATATGTAGCGCTTCTAATGCTCAGAAACGTCGTTTAGTCCAACCAGGCGTGAGGCGTAGCGGCCTGAATCGAGTCAGCCGCGACGAGACGGGTGCACGCTCGCACGGTGTACCACGGTTTACCACGGTGTAATGAAGACGAGACTGGAAAACGACTGTTACAATCGACCTTCCTCAACTCGCCTCATTCGAGTGCTGTGCGCGTCATCATTCCGTTAGTTTCACTCCACATGAATCGGAGCCCTCGCGTCTTGTAGTGAGGGTGCGGTATTATCAGAGCTGCTAGCCTCGTCCCCGTATTTTAGGCCGGACTTGGAAGCAATGTTCATCCCCGACGATTGTTTTCGTGCCCGCTGAAAAATATAGAGTGTTGCATCGCCTGTACAGACAAGCTCCAGGACGAAAACCGCACTGCTTCTACTAATAGTGGACCGATTGCTTCGACCTGTTTCACTCTGAAGTGCGTCAGCTGAAGTTGAAGGTTCAAGGCAAACTTTCCTACGAAACCTGTCGCTAGTTGTTACGCAACAGATGGCTCGCAGCGGTTTGCGGAAACTGGCTGTCTCCACGCCCCTAAATCCGATCTACAGTGTTGGCGAAGGACGAACTGTCGTCATCGGACTGGACGGCTGTCGCGAATGTCGCAACGCCTTCGCACAGTGGCTGCGCGACGGCCAGCAACCGGACGACAGAATCGTCGCAGCGATCGCCGGCGGCGCCAATCGCCACACCCGCTCGTCGTCATTGACGTCGATTGGCGACGTTACGTCTTCGTCGCAGAATTGCACAAACAAGGGCCGCGCTGGCGACGTGGGCGACGTGCTGCGACAAGCGACGAAGGCACCAAGCGGGAAGGCGACAGCCGTCGTAAAAAACACCGTCATCGTCCCAGGAATACCGCTCGACGATCATTTCAGCGACTGGGATAAAAAATCGCGATCGGCGCTTCTGAAACTCGCCACCATTGGATCGCAAGAGATGGCTCGCTTCGAGGCCGTTCGCCTGCCGTCCGCCGGCCAAGGTCTCTCCTTCGCGCGTTCCCTCGTCGACTGCTGTCACTCCGTCGAGGCTGACCTCCTCCTTATCCCCGCGCACGACTGCTCCGCGCTCCTCCCCTTCCTCCCCTCGCTCCCCCTTTCTTCCGCGTCCCCCATCTCCGCATTCCCCCCTTCCTCCGTTTCCTCCGCCTCCGCCGCCACCGCGAAAGCCTTCGCCTCCGCCGATTCGCGGATGCGACGCGTTGCTTCGTTTTGCTCCGAAAACGCTCCCTGTCCGGTCACCTTGATTGGCCGCGTGAGCAGCTTCCAGGCGAGCGCAAGCGGGAGGGAAAGCTGCGGTGGTTCGGCGAGGGACTGTCCTGCGGGGAAAGACAATGATGTTTTGACAACAGGTGCAAATGAAAACTTCAACGATGTGCAGGAATGCAGCAGCAGTAATGGGGACAGCAGTAACGAGGATGGAGATGGAGATAGGGAATTTTACAGCAGCAGCAGCAGTGGCAGCAACTGTACCACCAGCATTACTGTAGACAGCATCTACCCCCGAGCACCTTCACTTCAGTCACTATCACAAGTCAAACCAATAATGCAGGTCCCATGCCAGCTTGATAACCAAGGCAAGCGCAGTGTATTAGACAGAGGATTCTTCCTTATCCGTGCAGGTTTGAAAAGCCGAACGATCAAGCAGACTCAAGTTCGGCAGATGGTTCGGCGGTGGAGTGGAGGGGAGGAAACCAAAAGAGAGGCAACCTTCCGCACCAGCCGTGGATTGATTTTCTCAGTGTCACGAGGTATGGGTGGAGTGGCTTCAGTTGGCTGATATGTCAGTACTTGTTAGCTGATAACACAGAGGTCGTTTATGAAAGTTGGCTGTAATTATTATTTGATTAATTCTTTAGCAATTTTCATAATTAATATGACCAGCGCCAAGAAGCTTGGCTGATGGGGGCTATGAAATTTGAGAAATTTGTGTTCGCATGAAGTAGTCATTCATTTCTCTCGCATTTGCGGTGGCGCGCCGCGTTCTCATAACTCGAACGCATGGAAAGGCAGCAGCGGGGCTTCACTCCTCGCTCCGTGACACGTGTATACCATGAAGAGGAGCCGCTTTATCGCGAGCCCCTTGCTTGAATCTCCCTCATCGAATTGCTCGTTCTGCCACCAATTCTCTGCTCCAGCATTCCTCATGGCAATCGCTTTTTTTCCAGCAATTCAACCTTTCTTTTTCCTCGTAAGTTGGTTCTTCGTGGCAGTCGTATCTGTTTGTGGCACTTGGGGCTAGCACATTCTCGTCGCCTGTCGTTCTTGCGATGGCGTTCCTTCGTTTCCTCGTGGTTTTCCTGCTGGCGCTGCTCATCGCTCACGCCACACACGCCTTCTCAGTCTTCGGAGTGTCTTCCAAAGCCACCGACCCTGTAGGAGGTGTTCCGGTGGACGAGCCTCCCCTCTCGCAGTCCGCCAATCCGGATGAGCCAGAGCCGCGAACCGTGGCTGCAGGCGTATCGCACCTCGTTGGAACGACTGAGGGGAGTGAAGAGGAGAACGAGGGGAGTTGGACGGATTGGGTCTCTGGCGTGACTGGCATGGGCAAGAGGTAGTTATTTTTTCCGGGTAACATTCGTCCTCTACTCATGTTATGTTTCTTCGTTATATTTACGTTTACTTTTTTCATGTAGTTCTCCAACATGTCACCTGTTTTATGCAGATCGCCGTCCGAAGCCCAGGCAGAGGAGAAGTGGTCAGAGGCTGCAGACGCGGGAGGCGAATCGGCATCCAAGGCCGGCCAGTCCGCCGCCAAGAGCGGCGACGCGGCTGAGAAGCACGCAGAAGCCGGAGCAAACGCCGCATCTGACGCCGTTACAAGCGCGTGGGAGAAACTCAAGCAGGCAGCGACCGGGGCAGCTTCCGCTGGCCGCGAGGGTGCGGAGCAGGTGGGAGAGGCAGGCGCGGAAGCACAGCGACGTGCGGGGGAGGCTGGCGCGCGGCTGGGGGAGCGTGCAGGAGAGACGGGTGCGCAAGCGCAGCAACGCGCGGAAGAATACGCGGACGCTATGGCAGAAGGCGCGGGGGCGACGCTCGAGGGGACCAAAGCGGGCGGGCAGCGCGCGGCGGAAGAGGCGGGGAAGGCGGGCTGGGGCGTGTACGACCGCATGCGGTCCGTGGCAGACCAGCTTCAGCACGCCGCGGGGCAGGGCATGGGCGTGGGATGGGACATCGTTGGGCAAACGCGCGACACTGCCGCTTCCGCCGGCGCAGAGGCGGGGGAACGCGCCAAGGCCGGCGCAACAGCCGCGGAGGAAACTGCTGAAGGCCTCACGCAACGAGCGGGCGAACGCGCCGCTGATGTGGCGTCGACCGCGGAGGCGGGACGGGAAGTCGCGGAGGAGGGCGCGGAACGCGCGACTGGCGCAGTCGGATCGGCGGTCGGCAGGGTGGTTGACGGCGTGCGCGACACCGTGTCGCGGATCGGCGAGGCCGCGAACCAAGCGGGGCAAGCGGGGGAGTTCGCGGCGGGGACGGTTAAGCAGGCGGGAGCTGGCGCCCATAGCGCGGGGAAAGGCGCGTACGATACCGCGGCTGGCGCAGCAGGCCGCGTGGGGGAGGGCGTATCTGGCGCGGGCCAATTCGCCGCTGATCAGGCCAAGGCGGCGGGGTCGAAGGCGTATGATGCTGCTTCTGGCGCTGCGGCAGCAATTCCGGGCCCCGCGGATTTTCAGCGCGCGGGGAAGGTGATGATGGAATGGTGGTTGCGGCTTGTGGCGAAGCGGAAGGACGAGGCGGAAGAAGCTGCGCGGAAGGCGCAGGGAGCGGCGGAGAAGGGCTCGGGGAAGAACGCGGATTGGCTGAAGCAGCTGGCGGAAGCCGCCAGCTCGCGTTACGAGGCGGCGAAGGAGGCGCTCAGCTTCGCGACGGGGGAGGTGGGGGAGCTGCGGAGGCCTGGCGGAGCGGACGAGGGGGAAGATGTGCTGCGCGATATGTACAACCGGGCGGAAGCGTCCATGCATGAGCTGTGGAACGCGGCTAACGACGCAACTGAAAGTGCGAAATCGAGGAGCGGCGATCAGGCCGAAGGTGTGAAGAAGGAAGCGTGGAGGAGGTATGAAGAGGCGAAGAAAGGGTTTGAGCAGATTCAGACGCAGTTTGGGGACTTGTTCGAAAAAATGGGGATGAAGGGAGAGAAGGGTGAGGGGAAGGCGGAGAAGATTCGGCAGCGCGTGGCACATCCCTCTCCTGGCGACGCGCTTCGTGTGGAACTGTGATTGTATGGAGGGGAGAGGTGAGGAGGAGCTGGGAATGTGGAAGTGGGGCAGAAGTAGGGGGTAGTAGCCGCATTCTGTACACTCTGTACAGCGTACTGTACATTCTTGTACTAATGGCTGTGCTTTTTCATTTTCCATCAAACACTGTTCATTTGCCCCAAGAATGCTAACAGTTGGATGCACTTTCCATCCCCTTAGACTACGGATCCGTGTACACAAAAAAGAAGCATTTGTCTACACAGGTATAAACGTTTGGCAACCGAGAAAGTCACCATGTTAGCCCTTAGCATTCCCTATATCTATATCCTAATATCCACATTAAGCCCAACTGTCTGTTTGGGAACATAAAAGTATCTCTCTATAAGCTTCCCATTCACTGTGATGCGGGCACGATACTTGCCGTGAAACCCTCTGAATTTGATCGGGCTTCCAAATGTAACCTGTCGCATGAGGTGAGTGCTCCACTCCTTCCGCAATCTCACATACCTAGGGAGGGATGATGGCAGCATAGAGGGGGTGGAGAAGGTGTTCGAGGGGGACGGGGTCACGGGGGTTTATGCTTGACTGCAAATGAAAACAGAAGTCATGAGAATCACTCGGGAGAATTATCGGTGTTATCAGTGCACATGAATGAAATCTGGCAATGTGGAGGGAACCATGACATGGAGAACCATGACAGACTAAATCTGTATTTCCCTCGATCGATCTTCGCCTCTGCCCCACCGGATTATCCACGATCTTGGCACCAGCCAAGCACGCGTCACACACATAGCACATGCCCGGGCGCGTTCGTGTCCTTACTGTGCACCCATGTGCACCCCATGTGCACCCCGTGTGAACAACATGTGGCACGTACCTGTTCTTATCAACAACACCAAACCCACCCTCTAACCTCCTCCCTGTGTTCACCTCTGTCTAGCCAGACTGTCGACAGACTTTGTGTCCCCCCAGCAGGCATCGCACGCACACGAACATATAGGCACATGTGTTTTGAGGTGCCTCAAAAGTCCCAAAGGTAGGCACACTTAGGGCATATGACAAGACATGGCATGACTGACCAGACCATCCCTCTAGACCCGTGCGCTCAACCCTGCAGGGTGTTTTTGAGAATTCTCAAAAACCTCCCTCTAGCACCTTCTTGTCTGTGCACTCAACCCTGCCCCGCTAAGTAGTCGACAAACGGTGCCGAGCATGCCTCCGCAGAGCACACTTTCATCCTCACCCCCTCCCCCACCCAACGTCTGAGTCGACTCAAAAGTCACCTGCTTACCCCTGTATCCCTCCACGCACCCATGCCTTCTGAGTCGACTCAAAAGACAAACGGCATCCGCCAAGCATGTTTCAGCAGAGCACCTTTTCATCCTCAGGCCTCTCCAACCTACACCTCACCTCTGCCCTGCCAGTTTGTCCAGGAATCACACGCACTGCAAACTGGCATCCACCAAGCATGCATCACACGCACTGCACATGGCGGGACACATGTCCTTATAGTACGTGCACGTCAACCAACCAGCCAACCAGCACCCTCCACCCCACCCCCCCCCCCCTCCCCCCTATACCCACCCCACTCGCTCCACCTCTCCACACCATTGCACCTGCACCTCACCTCTGCCCTGCCAGGTTGTCGACAAACTTGGCATCCGCCAGGTGATTGACGAAGTGTTTTGAGACGTCTCAAAACACTTCTTCAATTTCGTCTGCCAGGCGTGCGTCGCACGGGCTGCACATGCCCGGATGCACGTTGATCTCCCAGCTGACCAAGCACCCTTCCCCCCCTTCCCCCCTCTCCACACCTTTGCACCTGCAGCAGCTCACCCATGCCCTGCCAGATTGTCGACAAACTTCCCATTCGCCAAGCACGCGTCACACGGACTGCACATGCCCGGATCCATGCCTTTATAGTACGTGCACGTCGACCACCGACCAGCCGACCAGAGCACGCACAGTGGAACTACCACCACCCCCCACCCCCTCACTCCCAATCTCCCTTACACCCACATCTCACCTCTGCCCTGCCAGGTTATCAACGAATCTGGCATCCGCCAGGCATGCATCACACGGGCTGCACATGCCCGGGTCCATGTCCTTGTAGTACATGCACATGCCCGGGTCCATGTCCTTGTAGTACATGCACATGCCCGGGTCCATGTCCTTGTAGTACATACACATTGACCGACCCTTCACTGCACCCTTACATCGACAGCTCACCTCTGCCCCGCTAAGTTGTCGACAAACTTGTCATTTGCCAAGCACGCATCACACGCGCTGCACATGCCCGGGTCCATGTCCTTGTAGTACATGCACGTCGATCTCCCCGCCGACCACAGCACAATGCCGGCCACCGAGGGATGTGCAAAGGCCTCTCGCATCACCGCTTCCAGATAATCCGCCCTTTGCCTCCCCGATTGCACTTCGTTGAAATCGAGCTCGGTCAGCCAGATGGGCATGCCGGCTACTGCCAGCCGGTTTAGGTCGTGTTTCAGACGGACCTGTAGAAAGGAGGTGGGGTATCATAGTGACAAACGAGGTGTAGGTGAATACCACCTCGTTGAAATCGAGCTCGGTCAGCCAGATGGGCATGCCGGCTACTGCTAGCCGGTTTAGGTCGTGTTTCAGGCGGACCTGTAAAAAGGAGGTGGGGTATCATAGTGACAAACGAGGTGTAGGTGAATACCATTTCGTTGAAATCAAGCTCGGTCAGCCAGATGGGCATGCCTGCCACTGCCAGCCGGTTCAGGCCGTGCTTCAACCGGACCTGAAGGGAGGGGTAGGGAGGAAACATGGCACGGTTCAGATCTGTTCATCGGATTGGACTTCGGTGTGAAATCGAGCTTGGTCAGCCAGATGGGCATTCCTGCCACTGCCAGCCGGTTCAGGCCGTGCTTCAACCGGACCTGAAGGGAGGGGTAGGGAGGAAACATGGCACGGTTCAGATCTGTTCATCGGATTGGACTTCGGTGTGAAATCGAGCTTGGTCAGCCAGATGGGCATTCCTGCCACTGCCAGCCGGTTCAGGCCGTGCTTCAACCGGACCTGAAGGGAGGGGTAGGGAGGAAACATGGCACGGTTCAGATCTGTTCATCGGATTGGACTTCGGTGTGAAATCGAGCTTGGTCAGCCAGATGGGCATTCCTGCCACTGCCAGCCGGTTCAGGCCGTGCTTCAACCGGACCTGAAGGGAGGGGTAGGGAGGAAACATGGCACGGTTCAGATCTGTTCATTGGATTGGACTTCGGTGTGAAATCCAGCTCGGTCAGCCAGATGGGCATGCCGGCTACAGCTAGCCGGTTCAGATCGTGCTTCAACCACACCTGAAGGGAGGGGTAGGGAGGAAACATGGCACGGTTCAGATCTGTTCATCGGATTGGACTTCGGTGTGAAATCCAGCTCGGTCAGCCAGATGGGCATGCCAGCTACAGCTAGCCGATTCAGGTCGTGTTTCAGACGGACCTGGATAGAGAAAATTGGTAAAATAAGGTATTCGGAAAAGAGAGGGAGTGAAGGGAGAGAGGGTAGGGGCTAAGGGAGCGAGTCAGAAAACCCTCCTTTGTTGTGCACTCCTTGGAACTTGCAAGCGACGCAGTGTTTCTGAGAAAAAAGCAGAGATCCTGTGCTTTAGAGGGTGTTTCGTAAGACGCTGCTGTGGATCCCCACTGAAGCGTGCCTCCTCCACCACACCTATGCCCCTCACTCTACAGCCCCTGAAAACCTCTCTCACTCTCTCACATCATCCTCGCACTCCACTCTCTTAATCCCTCTCACTCTATTCCCATTCTTTCATTCCCACTCTTTTTTCTTCCCACTCGTTCATTCGCAGTCCTTTATTCCCACTCGGCCAGTCCCACTCACTCACTCCACTCACCAGTTGCGGCTCCCCCCTGTAGTGTGAAATGAACGCCTATGCACACGCCTATGCCTCTCACTCCAGTGTGCTACAGCCCTTTACCTCCCATTCTCTTTCACTTCACTCTCACCCCAATCGCACTCCTCCTCTCCCACTCACTCACTCACTCCACTCACCAGTTGCGGCTCCCCACTATAGTGTGCCTCCACGCCTATGCCTGTCACTGGCGCCCCACTAGAAGTGAGATTCCACACCTTCTGCTTGGGGAGAGTAAACGGCGAATGGAAGATAGAAGGGAGAAGATAATGGGGGAAAGTGAATGTGAAAGGGCGGGTGGGGAGGGGGATTATGTCTTCATGGCAGGTTCTGAAACGTGGACGTAACTTGTGAGCGATTTTCGAAAATCGTACATGGCTGGTTCTGGATTGCGTGGGTAAGAACTGTAGAAAAGAGGTGACGCTAACATATGGTCTTGTCCTCAATTTCGTTTTGCCTTTTTCTTTTTTTCCTTCAATTCTCCCTCTTTTTTTTTTTTTTTTTTTTTTTTTTCTTTTTTTTCTTTTTTGTTACTGGCTGGCTGGAGAGGTGTTGAGGCTAACAACACTGCAAACAACTCCGCAACAGAGCATTTGATACCAACATAGCAGCAAGCGGATTCAACAAAGCACCGCTCCTCGGGGTATACCTTTGGGTTGGCATCCTTGTCGCACTGCTCCACAGTGTTGTACTCGTTAAGAGCAGCTGCACTACACTCTCCATTCTGCTGCACTTCTCTTTTCTCTTCCACTTGCCTACATATCCTCCCACTCACCTCGAGGTAAATCTCCGGGTTAGCCTCTTTGTCGCATTGCTCCACAGTGTTGTACTCGTTAAGGAACAACCTGACATTAGGGTCAATCGCTCGGGCAGCTTTAAACATCCACGAGTGCACATTGCCGCCCAGGCGCTGCCCGTAGTAGTTGCCATGCAGAGGCTCGTTGATGACATCCCAGTGCTGCACCTTGCCTCGGTACCGGCTGACTGCACTGCTCATGCGCCTTTGCATGGCCGCCCATAAGGAGGTGTTGTTGAGACCCTGCCATGCAATGCAAGAGAGGGGAGGGGAGGAGTGGGTGGGAGGCGTTGACTGACGTTGACTCACCTTGACTGCGTTGAATTACCTAGGCTGGCGTTGACTCACCTTGACCCACAGCTACTCATACTCTCCACGGCCCAGAACACGTTGTGCGTGCGTGCGTGCGCGTCCAGGCTCTGATCGTTCATCACTTTGATCGCTCACCAGCGCGTCTGTCACATTGTTGTCTAGACCACCCACACTTGAGAAATTCTTTGACTCACGTTGACCAGCGTTGACTTGACTCACCTTGACCCACGTCTGAACAAACTTCTCCACGGCCCAGAAGATGTTGTGAGCGCGCACTTTGATGTTCCTCTGGGTGAACCACACTGACTCGCCTTGACCCGCGTTGACCAACGTTGACCAGCGTTGACTTGACTCACCTTGACCCACGTCTGAACAAACTTCTCCACGGCCCAGAAGATGTTGTGAGCGCGCACTTTGATGTTCCTCTGGGTGAACCACACTGACTCGCCTTGACCAGCGTTGACCAACGTTGACCAGCGTTGACTTGACTCACCTTGACCCACGTCTGAACAAACTTCTCCACGGCCCAGAAGATGTTGTGAGCGCGCACTTTGATGTTCCTCTGGGTGAACCATCTAACCAACGCGTCAGTCACATTGTAGTCCAGTGCGCCTGGGCTCTGCTCGTTGAAATACCATTTAGCTTCATTATTGAACACTGCCCAGTTGAACCTGTTTAGGAACCACTGCAGGGATGGGAGTGTGTAAAATGGGGTGGAGAGGCGTGGAAGGGGGAAGAAAGAGGGTCGAAAGGTGTGAACATTGCACCAGCGCGTCCGTCACATTGTAGTCTAGTGCGCCTGGACTCTGCTCGTTGAAATACCACTTGGCTTCGTTGTTGAACACCGCCCAGTTGAATCTGTTTAGGAACCACACCACTGCAAGGGGAGAGAGATGAGGTGAGAGGGAGAGAGAGCGGGAGAGCAAGAGGTGAAAGGGAGGGGAGATTACGTTACATTATAGTCCAATACGTCCAGTGAAATAAGAGTGTTTTTGAGACGTCTCAAAAACACTCTTGTTTCACGTGGCAGTCCTGTACGCCCTGTGTCTGTTCGTTGAAATACCACTTGGCTTCGTTGTTGAACACTGCCCAGTTGAGCCTGTTTAGGAACCACTGGGGGAATGGGAAAGGGTGGAAAAGGGTGGGAAGGGGTTGGAGGTCCTGCATCCGCTCGTTGAAGTACCACTTGCCCTTGGTGTTGAACACTGCCCAGTTGAAGCGACTGGGGAACCATTGGAGGGATGAATGATGGGGAAAGAACGAACGCAGGAACCGGTTTGGGTACCGTATCGACGGGCGGGAGGGGGGAAAACAATCATAAAGACTCCGCTCATTGAACGACCATGGCAATTGTTGTTTTTGTTTTTGTTTTTTTGTTTTTTTTTTTTTCGTTCACAGCGACACCCGTGCACACTTGCATTCGTAACATTAACAGTTAGCTTCAGACTGCCTGTTGTGACTTTGTATCGTTTCCTTAAGTCGCATTTGCACGAGGATTCGCATTCACACCCAACGTCAGTTGCTGCTTACCGCGCACCCACACCCACAAAAACACCCACACCCACACGAACACGCCCACCCACACCCACCCACACCCACCGACACCCACCCGCTGGTAGTTTTTGTCGTAGAGGATCGCGCCGTTGACATTAGCTCCAAACGGGAACTCCGAAGTCACTTGGTCGATCTGCACGCGCGCTGATACTGCCCCTGCTCCGTGCACCCGCAATGTCACGTCTCGTTGGCGGTGCTGGAAGGTGGGGAAGGGGACCAAAGGGGAGGGCGGGAGGGAGGGGGGGCATAGAGCGCAGCTGCGCAGGAGGCTGTGAATAGAGGGAATGGGAACTCCGAAGTCACCTGGTGGATCTGCACCCGGGCTGACAGCGCTCCCGCTCCATGCACTCGGAGAGTGACGTAGTGAGGAGGGGGAGGAGGGGAGTGACGTCACGGTGGCGATGCTGCAGGGGTTGGGTTGGGGAGGGGGGTGGGTGGAATGGGGAGGGGAAAGCGGAAGGGACGAGAATGGGGGGAAGGAGGCTCAGAGGCAGTCTCAGATGGAAGCTCCTAGTCACCTGGTCGATCTGCATGCGGGCTGGCTGGCTGGCTGACAGCGCTCCTGCTTCATGCACTCGTAGAGTGTCGTAGTGAGGAGGGGAGAGGAGGGGAGAGGAGGGAGGGAGGAGGAGGGAGATATGAGAATGGGAGTGCGGCGGACTCCGCAGGAGACAAGAAAAGCGCGGACTCTAAAGGTTGACCCAGGCACCACCCTCCCTGCTTCCTTACACTCTGAGCGCTTCCGATTCGCCTACATAATGATTAATGGACTAACATTTTTACTGTTTGAGTGGAATAAATAAATACTCAGCCTCCTTCTTTCACAGACTTACCTTCTTGATATTTTCATTCTGCCGCTGTCGCCACATCGCCGTGTCCACCTTCAGCAGCGATGCTGACGTCACCAAGATCTCCGTCCCGACCGTCGCGCCTTGGATATACACCGCGACCTCGCTAGCCGTCCGATGCAGCGTGAATCCGCCAATCACCTTCGTCCAGCACGACGGCCGCGCGTTCGCGCCGCCGATGCACACGTACTTGCCGTCGATCTTCGCCATCGCGTTCACGTACTGCCGGCCGGCGGGAGGCAAGCCGGCAGTTTTAGCGGCCGGCCCGCTGGCGGCACCTAGCTTCACCCAGATCGCGAGCTCGTACGCCGCGGCCGGCAAGTTACGTATTATCTGCGCCGGCCCCGCGGACTCCTCGCGCCGCGCGTACGACACGCCGTACGAGTAGTTCGCGGCCTGCACGCGGCGTAATGACGACTCGCCGAAGGCCAGCCACGACGACAGGCCGTCCTGGAATCGCGGGTTCTTTAGGAGGTTGCTGGTCGGCGGGGCCGCGGGGCCGGGATTTGGGGAGCACTGGCGCAAGGGGGAGGGGGAAGTGGGGGAGGGAGAAAGCGGGCAGGGAGAAATCGGGAAGGGGGGAAAGGGGGACGGGAGGGCGGGGGAGGATCGTGGGAGGAGAGGGAATGGAAGTTGGACATGCGGAGCATTGCGGAGTCGACTTTTGAGTCGACTCAAAAGTCAGCTGGGAGGAGAGGGAAAGGAAGTTGGACATGCGGAGCATTGCGGAGTCGACTTTTGAGTCGACTCAAAAGTCAGCTAGGAGGAGAGGGAAAGGAAGTTGGACATGCGGAGCATTGCGGAGTCGACTTTTGAGTCGACTCAAAAGTCAGCTGGGAGGAGAGGGAAAGGAAGTTGGACATTTGGAGCATTGCGGAGGCGTGGGGCAAAGTGCGGGAAGCTGTAGGGAAGGGAGGTTGGCGGGGGAAGAGGAGAGGGAGAGAGCGTGTTAAAGATACAGGAAATTGTTTAGAATTCTAAACAATTACCCTGCATCATCAGGAGGGAGTGGCAGAGTTGAAGGCGTTATGTGGTGGAAGAGGGGCGGTGGAAGCGTGGAAATGAAAGAGGCGGACGGGAGCGGAAGACGCGGAGGGGGCGGAGAGGGGGGGAGGAGGAAGGGAGGAGGAAAGGGGGGTCGGAGCGGAAGCTGGGAGCGCACTCACGAAAACGACTTTAAATATCTGATCGAGAGTTTTCCGGCCTCGGCCATCGCCGTGCGACGTGTGCGGCGCTTTGAGATAGTCGAGCGACAGTAACCCGTCCGCTCCGCGATACTGCGCAAACTCGCGCTCGTACGGCGATGGCGGAAAGCCCGCGGACTCCGCGACTGCGCGGATCACCGCCCCTGGTGGAGCAAGCGGCGATTGTGCAGGAAGAGAGGGGTTGGGTCTAACGTTCATGAGTGTTGCACATTGCATGGGGAGAAAGAATCACTCGCGATGTTGTAGTTGAAGGGTCCGATCGAAACCTAGGACTGAGAGTACCAGAGACGATTATCGAGAGTAGTTGGGCTGCAACTTTCATGGATGCTAGCCTATCATTGTTTACCCGCATCTAGTCGTTTCAGCTTATTGCTTGATTATAGGCACGTGCGTGCTCAGCTGCACATCCAATAAACTCACCGGAATTCGTCTGATGCGATAAAATGGTGATGGTGAGGAGCGCAAGAGGTAGTATTTTCACTTGCCCCAGTCCCAGAGCAAGAGGCGCCATGATTGTTAGTATTGATTAATGATGTACTGCCTGACGATTCACAATGCAATTACAAAGCTATGAGTTTGCCTTGACAAGCGCATACTGACACGAAAGTGTTACTTTTCCTTACTAAGGCTTTCCTGGATTCTGCAATTTCAAACTACCCTTTGGGGCGTCTATCGAGAGCCCCAAAGCGCAAGAGGTGATCGAGACCGGGACTGCCTGTGCCTTGACATTGTCCGAGCACATGTGTTTGGCATCACAAGCAAATGCAGCCAGCCATCAAAAGCGCAAGAGAATCGAAGGAGTTGAGTGCGGGAGGGGAGGAGGATGAAAGTGCAAAATCGAGCCGGTTCCACCCAATCAGTGCGTGCCAAGCACAATCTCACACCCCTCCACACGACGGCGAGGTTCCCGAAGGGCGGGAAAGGCAATTCCCGTGACAGCAGGGTAACCCGAAGTTTCCGGGGGAAATTTTGGGTGAGTGGGTCGTCCAGGTTTTCCCGATTTTAAGAGTTGAGCTACCAGTTGAGAGTGTCACTTTCCCCAGCGTGCTGGCGAAACGCTAAGAGCTGCGGCAGAATCTGCAAACCAGTTGAAACAAAACTTTTTAGCATTCGTTGAAATCAAACCAGGGTTTGGATGAAGCTGGTGCGCGTTTTTCCAACCTGAAATGCATTCCACTTGGAGGTGCGATTCGTCCTGATTGCTTTCAATCAAACAACACCGACATTCGCAGGCTAGGCTTGGCAGAAATACAGGTGAAGGAAAACAGCCCAGGAAGAAACTTGAACTCTAGGTTCGTGCGTGGTTCGTTACTCATCGTCAACCAATGAGGGGACTTTGTGTAGTATTTTCCCGAACAAAGCGCGATGCTCGCCCAGTCAAGTTTTGACGTCCCTCGCACAGCGATCGTGTCGTGACCGAAGCAGGGGGAAACGTGCCTACAGCAAGGCACAGATGTCCCCTCCTCGCTTGGACAAGCGGAACACCACCTCACAATGCTTGGGGAAAACTAGCTTCAAGCTGAAGCCAAGTCGTTTCATGCACCCCAAGACCTTTTGCGAAAACTGACAGCCCTTCGAACCTCTCTCATCGCCAAAACCGAACATGCAGTGAAACATCTCGACCCTCCTACGGAAACCGGCTTCAGGATGTTGGCTGATGTTCTGAAGTAAGGTCGGTAACCACAGTCGCTAAACTTTCGCAACTCTCGCTGGAACCGTATTACTGTGCTTCTGACCATGCTCCACCGCCTCAAATCTACAAACGAGCTCTCATTAACCGTGGTAACTGATCTCACCGTTTCGCTAGTACAAAGCAAATGTACGAACTCGGCCGGGTCAAGTTTCAAACAACGAAAGACCCTCCCCACCATTCCCCTGGATTACGATTTCAAATATTCAAATGCTTCTGTGGCGAGGTCTCCCACTTCGCACCTTCTGGTTTCTTCAGGATCTTCCACGTAGAATTGAGACCGATTAATCCAGTCGTCAGCTTCTCAGAGCGCCTCAGAAGCTTCTCTTTACAGACACTCGTCTTTCATCCCGACTTATCTTAGGGTTACCGTCTCAAATTTCACTTAGGGTGACGGTCTCATTTTTAAATATTATAGAGGACGACGCGCTTAAATTCGACTAGCGACAACCATGGACTTGTCAGACCCGTCTCCGATGGTTAATGGAGAGCAAATGAGACGTTTCGTGGGTCGTAAGATCCGGACGGTCCTGAGAGTGGTGCGAGTGGACCCCGGTATAATCACAGCTCAGACGTGCGACAACGCTACAGTTACAGTCCGCGCGTTGACTCGCTCGCCGTGGGATAACTCGCAATTCGTCGAGGTGATTGGTGTTCCCGAGAACGACACGACCATTCGGGAAGAGTCATCGACCGCTTTCGGAAATAACTTCGGTAAGCTACGTCCCCGTTTCACTCATGTTTTGGAGTCCGTCTCGACCATGGAGGTCGCGCATCCGTTTCTTTCAGGATCCCACGTTGGAGGTGACTTCTGAGTCGAGTCATAAGGAGGCGATGTTGGAGGTGACCTATGAGTCGAGTCGTAAGGAGGCGATGTTGTTGGAGATCTGTTTGGCACGCCTTTTCACTGATTTTAGTGCAGGCGTAAAAAACAGTTAGGGATGTTAGGGAAGGCCAGTGGGCGAACATGTATGCTGATGCGAACGGTCTTCTTGCTTTCGCGTTCGCACAGATCGAGGAACATGTCTGTTTCCCCTCCTTTTCGCTATTATCCTAACAACGCTCATCTTATTCATGAATTTAAGCCTCCCCCCCCCCTCTCTTGTTTTCCCTGTTCCCCTCCTTTTCCTAACCCCCCAATCTCTCTGCCTTCTCATTTCCACTCCCCTCCAGACCAAAGCAACTACAATCAGCTCTGCACCCTGGTCCATGGAGAATTCCATTCTCTTTTTCTACCTTGACATTTCACTTGCTCAGCTTACACGCACCACTTCTTAAAAATATAACCTAAGCTCCCGATATGTGTACAGTGCATGTGTTACGGTATTCAACTGAACTCAGTGTTCAGTCCAGTCCATGTCATTGGCCTCGTGCTTGACGACGTCCCCTTGTATTTTAGAAAGACTGTCAAACAATGTTTTTGAGATACTCAATGAAACACCCATTCTGGAGAGGTATATGGCCAGGTTCATCTGTGCTGCAGCCTGCTGGTTACATTCTTCCCTGGCAATGCCACAGTATGGTGGATGTTATGAGTTGTATGAAAGAAGAGTGCGCAGAATTCAATATCGCGGAAGTGATTACAACTACTGAGAGCACAACGAGGCCTAGGACTAATATAGCGAGGCTAGCTGGGCCGAGGTTGTAGGGTCGCAGGATGGCTGGGTGCAGGTCCGGGGTTGTGAAACCCGAAAGCGACGCGATAGTGGTTCGGAAAGCGAGGTCGTCGGACCGAGCCTGGTTTTCCGAAAAGTCAGGTTTGTACGCGTACAGTGTGACCCAGTAAGGAATCCGAAAAATTCCTTACACTACCCCCCCCCTTAAGAAAGGTGGTGAATGTCGGAGACACCACGGCGGGTCAGGTAAGCATCCACAATCGGATGTCCCAGGAGCGAGTCAGCAGGGACATACGTGTCATCCTCGCTCGTGCGGTTCTTCCAACGAAGCAGGAATTTCACGGAGCGGCCGGCGGTGGTCACGTCCACGCGGTGGTTCAGAATTTTCCAGGGTTCCAGCGTGGGCTCCGCCACAGGGCGTGTTGTCGGCGCGAGCGTAGGCCGAGCGACAGTTGGCGACTGCGGGGGCTCGTAATGACGCAGAAGGCTGACGTGGAAGGCGTCATGGATTTTCCAGTCGTCGGGCAACAGCAGCTTGGCGGTGACAGGTGTCACCATCTGGACGATACGAAACGGTCCTACGAACCGGGGTCGTAATTTGGCGGGCTGCGGCAGCCGGAGGTTTCTGGTGTCCAGAAGTACAACTTGCCCCGTGCGGAAGGGTAAATTGCGTCGGTGTCGATCCGCTTGGCGACTGGCTGTGGTATTAGCCCTGCGAATGAAATCAGCTGCTCTCATGCGTGCAGTTTGCAGTTCCGTGACAAACTGCTGCGAGCGTGGTACCGGGTTGTCCACGGTCGTCGACGAGGGTACCACAGGATCTATCCCGTAATTCAGGAAGAAGGGCGATCGCTGAGTCGTGGTCGACGGGGCGTTATTGTACGCAAACTCCAGCATCGGTAGTGAATCCTCCCATTTACGAATGTCGGGGCAGTTGGTGCGAATCAGTTGCTCCATGGTCTGATTGGTCCGCTCCGTCTGTCCGTCGGTTTGTGGGTGGTATGACGACGAAAACTGTAGGCGGGTACCATACTGTGCCCACGTCTCCTGCCAGAACTTCGACGTGAATTTTGGGTCACGATCGCTAATGATCGCCGAAGGTAACCCGTGTAAACGGACGACGGTGGAGATGAACAGCTTGGCAGTGTCTTCGGCTGTGATCGTTGTTCGGCAGGGGGCGAAATGTGCCATTTTCGTGAGGCGATCTACGACG